TCATCTGATCCACCTGACTTTCTGGAGCTGGATTCATCTAATCCAGACTTTCTGGAGCTCTTCTTCACGGAGGGAGAACTACAAATGTCACATCGTGTCGTGTTCCGTTGCACACAGTGTTTCAACCTCTACAACTCAAAGCTGAACTACTGGGAGGACTGAAAAAGCAGATAAACTCACTCATACACACACTCACGAACACTCACACGCACTCACTCACTCACTCACGCACACAGACACTCACTCGCACACTGACATTCACACACACAGACACTCACTCACACAGACACTCACTCGCACACTGACATTCACACATTCACATGCTTCATTCTATTTTATACATCTATAGTTTTATTGATCTTTGTGTTGTTGTTGTTTGACGTTTTGGTTGATGGTATAGAAGAAAGTTAAATTTTCTATCTGTGAATAAATTGCCAACAATTTGCCATCAAAAGTATTATTTCAGAGTCATGTTTTTATAATTTTTGTAATGGAACAAGTGTGAAGATGTTTTGAGTTGTCACTAAAGCAGCAAAAATGCATCTAAAAGTCTCTTTTCTGCTTGATATGTTCCTGTTTACATACAGCTCGTTTTCTCTGTTTTCTTGCTCAGACCAGGTGTTATGGGTGAAAGTATGCTTTGTTCTATGGCAAATAACTCAAGAACGGTAAGAGGTAGAAACAAACTGTTTGTTTCAGAGTAAAGCAGAGAGGTTAATCTTTAATTTGGTGCCCTTGATGTTTACATCGTCTAAAAAATGAATATTCTGTGGCACTTCAAAGTTGGGTCAAATCACCTGAAATTGCTGGCAGAACGCACTTCTCAAATCTGAAAATGCCTGGCAGTCAGTGAGTTAAAATCCGCATGCTTTTGATTTGTCCTCAGGAGGTAAACGGACACGGTTCTCGTGTTTGTCCAATCAGTACATGCTCCCTGTTCGCCTCTAGTCTGTCTGCACTTTCCTCTGTGGGCTCTTCAGCTGATCTTCAAATATCACAGCTCTGTCTGGCCTTTTGGACTCGCCAATTGGATTTGGGAACTTTAATGAGAGGATTCAACCACTGTCTCTCCTGAACTGACTAGCATAAAACTACTTTCCTGCTTGCTTCCCTAAGGTGCACCATCCACCACTGGCGGATAAATGAGAACGATAGAAGTAAATGTATCCCCCAAGACTATTCATGCCATATGTTTTGCGCTGATGGGTATGCAAGTAAAGAAAGCATAGGCTGGCTTGTATTTCTCTTCAGCCAGTCATTCACAATTGATTAAATGTCAAGAGATATCTGGTGTTACGATGGCCCGCGCTTAAGAGTTTGTCCGCACATAATCCGCCTACTTAAGGTATCAGTTTCTATGGAGATAATCACCCATAAAACGACATCTGGCATTTTGCTTAAATACTATGCAATGATATGATGACTGGTGGATTTGAGCAAAAATATTGACGTGAGGAGATGGCAAGGACATACGGCGGAAATCGATGTGATATGGGAAAGAAAGATTTAGGTGATCATGCAAACAGATCGTTTCTCATCAAGTATTCTCTATTCTTACAAAGCTGTCGAGAGAGCTATCTTCAAATAGGATCTTAGCTTGTCTTTAGGAAATTATGTTTCATTTTTGCATTCAATTACCAGGGTTGTAATTGCACCAGGGTGTGTTTCATTTCTGATATGATCTTGATACTTTGAATTTTAATATCTGCTGATACCCGATATTTGATATAATGTATAAAAATAGAATGATGTTCAAATGTCCAGTTTTTTCTGTGATTCAACTTAAAATATGAAACTAATATATGATATAGACTTGTATGTCAATATGTTGTATGATTATGGCTCCAACTATATAACACTTCAAACTCCACTATGGCCAAGACCAAAGATCCGTCAATGGACACCAGAAACAAAATTGTAGACCTGCACCAGGCTGGGAAGACTTAATTCGCAATAGGTAAGCAATTTGGAGCAATTATTAGAAAATGGAAGACATACAAGACCATGATCTGGGGCTCCATGCAAGATCTCACGCCGTAGGGTCAAAATGATTACAAGAACAGTGAGCAAAAATACCAGAACCACACGGGGGGACCCAGTGAATGACCTGCAAAGAGCTGGGATTCAAAGAACACCAAACCTACTGTGAAGCATGGGGGTGGAAACATCATGCTTTGGGGCCGTTTTTCTGCAAAGGGATCCTTTCCCACAAATAAAGGTTTTCTTTAGGGATGTGGGATTGGGAATGATTGGGTTGATGTTTGATATCTTGCTTAAACGTTTATTTTGACGTTTTTTGGCTGATATTAGCACAGAATAGCTATGTAGTACATTAAGTTTAACCTCTAAACTGTTGTTCTGTTGTCCGGCTTACAGAACCAGTTTGAAACACAATTGGTCCGAGTTATTGCTGTGATTTGAGGGACGAAAAAGGTTAGCTTTACTGGTTTATATTGGGTTCATATTAGGTTCTTATTGTGTATAGATATTCAGGTGAAAGTATCGGGATCAGACTTGAAAAATCAGTGCATCCCTTGCTTTGATTTTATGAACCAAAAACTAATAAAGGGATTCAAATCACAGCTCGTTACAATATGGGTCCATTTTGAGATTAAGAGATCCTTTATTTGTCCCACATTGGAAACATTTCATTTTCTCCTGTAAGTAACCAGAAGTTCATTAGATAAGAGCTTTGTGTGACTTTGGACCCTGTAATGTGCTGTATAAATAACGATTACTTGAACTTTGTGACATTCTAAGTTAATATCAGCCAGTAATATCAAGAGTTTGGCTTTTTTTCCCCAGATTGGCTCCTTGAAAAATAGATCTCAAACAAATTCATGCTGGCCTAATGTGTTAAATGATTTAATGTATTTAAGCGGCAGTGGGACATCTGTCTATTTTCATGTATATGTTTGAATCAATGTTTGTGGTACATGCGCTGCTCATTTGAGCCGGGGTCTGTGTATTTTTCTCACTGTAATATACACTTCATAAGTCCATATTTCCTCATGCTCTGTTCCAGTGCTGCAAATTTAATTGTGCCATTCTCACTTCTCAGACGTAACACCAATTAAAAGTTGTCAGATCTGTGTTTATGAAGCTGAACAGTGAACATATTCCTGTGTGGCAGCTGTGGGAGGCATGACATCCTGCTTGATATTTGTCAAAAATATCTCAAATTAATCTGATTTCACACCTTGGCTCGATATCTTAAGTTTAAAGACTTTACAATTGAACTGCCTTTTTATTGATGAAAATGTATATATAACATTAGTGTAAAATATGATGTTGGTCCAGTCTTTCAAGGTATTAGGGCTGTCAAAAGAAAAACATGCATAAAAGAGATTTCTTTTATGACCTTTATGAGCTACAGTAAGTACAGAATGGCATGGACTGTCTCGATATGATTATTAAGATAAAATAAGATAGACTCACTCACTATTTAATGTAATCTGCAAGTGGAAAACTGAGATGCAAGGCCACTTTTGGCATTGATCATAAGTATTTATAATCAAACAAGTAACTATGTTAGATCTGGTCTCTACAACTGATTCAAACAACTAAATGATAAAACTAATTATCGTCAATTACAAGTTTAGTTATTAATAATATTTTCACTGATAATGAGCCTGCATATCTGTATCCATGTAGTAGCTTCTCTTGACATTAAAACAGATTATACTTACTGAGTTTTTTGTCTTTTTCATTAGTTCTGCATTTGCCCAGAAACAAATGGAACCTCTCATGTGATCTCTTATTAGTGTAGAAACTCATCACTGTAAATAATGAAAAGGAAGGAGGAGGAAAGTGTGGAAAAACTTTGGATTGCTGCAACATGTTGAACTGATTCTGCTTTCAGTAAACGTCTGCAAAAACTCTTAATAGATACGACATAAACCATTTTTGTAAAAATCCTGTTTGTCTTTGTTTAGGCATTTACAATTGAACATTTTCAAAGTTATCCATGCTTCAAGTTGTCACGTTTGAAAATCCATTTGAATTACATATTTTACTTGAGCAAAATTTGACCCGTGCCCACTCATTTTCCATATCTGTTATTTTCTCAGCAAAAGCAAGCGTAATGTTTTGTTTTTGTTTTTTTTTCTCTATTCTTCATGCGGTATTGTATTAAAATTAACATAGTTCATTTTGTGTAATCTCTCATAGAACATGACAGCAGTTTTTTGCACATGCTGGGTTTCCTGTCAGTCATTTCAAGTTGATTTTTATATTTTGATTTTCTTTCAATGCATTCGGCCTCCCTCTTTCTATCCTCTCTTTTGTTGTCAAGTCTTCACGCAGCAGCCTCCAGGACTTTAACCTTTGACGTCGGCTTGCGTCCCTCAAAGGCCCCCTGCTCCTTCTCCTCCTCCTTCTTTTGACTGTGCAGCTCTGACAGCGCACCGCCCCCATGCCTCTCTGGGACAATAGCCCTCTACAAAAGCCCTCAGGAGCGTCCTCCACCTACGTTAACCAAATTCACCCCAGTTCCTGAGAGACAGCCGTAGAAAATCCCATTCTTTAGCCAAACACACATAAATTCACACCGAACTCAACCAGATTTAGCTGTCAGACGCATACTGTACTTTTGGAAGGAGACTTCTGGGCTCAGGAGTGAGTGAGATTGAATAAGAGGTGCTACAATTTCATAAGCAAATCTGTCATTTTATCCCCGTGATTTGGAAGGGTGCTAGAACAGTGATGGAGACAAACGGGAAAAAGATGTGTTGAGTTCAGATACAAGGGTTTGGAGAAATCATATCACCTTGTAATTGCAACTTTTATAAATGTGTGTTCCTAACATGTGACAAAATGCCAGGAGATGCTGTATTTATGAGGTTGCTCAAAACAACCCATGTCTACTTTGAAATGTGATGTTCTGATGGTGCCTTTGTGGTTACATAATGTATTTGCTTGTTTGAACTTCAACCAAGATTTAAGTGCAGAAACTGTCTAAGAAAAGTCTTTATAATATGATATGCTGTGTGTGATTCTAGCCGTGAGTGGAGCTGAGGATGTGGCGCTGTACGTGGGCATGGTGGCCATCGCCCTGTGTCTGACGCTGCTCCTTATCGTGGTGGTGCTTGTGTACCGCCGAAAAAAGGAGGGCCTTGATGCCGACGTGGCCGACTCGTCGATTCTCACCACTGGCTTCCAGCCGATGGGCATCAAGCCCAGCAAGCCAGGTGTGTGGGCCCCGCGGCCCCGCAGACTCCCCCACTGCAGTAGGACACTGTTTTTTGTTTTACCCACGTCTGTCTGACCGCCGTAGAGAACCATCTATATGTACCAGTTGATTCAATATCATACATATACACACCCACACTGAACTCTTGCACGGGAAACAGTCTGTTTGTATTCTGAATAGCCCGAGACCTCCACAATCACATAACACCATGCTGTAGTCCTTGGTGGAAAGGCAGGCCCATATGCCCCCATTTCCCTTATGTTTAAATGTGTTTATAATGCCCTCCTGTAGATGGATGTTTTCTGTTACTGCCTGACACATCGACTTTCACTGCTGCCACCACCTCCTTATAGTCAGGAAATGTTCCTGCAATATGTATGTGTGTGTGTGTATGTTTGTGTCTGTGTGTGTGTGTGTGCGTGTGTGTGCATGTGTGTGTGTGTGTGTGTAGCTGTATGTGTGTGTATAATCCTGTGGGTGTGTGTTGTGTGAGTGTGTGCAACCTCAGAGCAGTAATCAAGATACAAACACAAAACAGCCTTTGCGTCTCAAGATGGGGTGTGGGTTGTCGTTACTGTGACTCAAAGGAAAGGAAAAGCTCTTCACACATAATAATGTTGTAATGTGCAACCTGAGCAGTGCTGTTAATGAGCCACAAGGACAAAACCATTCTTTTGGAGCTACAGTTAGTATGTGTTGGGGTTTTTTTCCAGCATGTGTCTTTTCCACGTAGTTTTGTGCATTTGTACAACAACTTTTACAGTGCGTGAGGTCTGTGTCTGTGATTAACACTTCCTCAACTGCCACTCAGAGCCACTCACACTTCTGCCATTTTCTGTTTTTTATTACAGAAAACTCCCATTTGCTCACCATCCAGCCTGATCTAACCACAACAACAACAAGTTATCAAGGCACTCTGCGATCCCGACATGAAGGAACAGGGAAATTTTCAATGTCTAACGGGCCTCTCTTGGACCCACTACCAAACGGGTCACACACGCTGCACAATGGGAAGCTAAACCCGGACCACACTGAGTTTGTGAGTCGCCTGACCACTCAGACCTACTTTAAAACACTCCCTCGGGACATCGCCAATGCCTCGTACGGAACATTTAACTTTCTGGGAGGACGACTGACCATTCCCAACACAGGTGAGGGAGGATAACAATGTGAATGTACATGTATGTGGTAAAGGGCTGATTCTGACCCGTAGAATCAAGAAATAGTCATTTTTTGTGTGTTTATTGTTTGTTTGGTTGTCATTGGTCATTCGAAGATAACTATTGTCGGTAACTATAGTAAGATAACTACAGTAACATCAAAACTAGTGGCAAGGCTGAAAATATTATTATTCTTCCCCCGATATTCAATGCCAGTGAGTGTATTGGTGCATTTTTGCTCATAACATGGGGTGATCAAACTATCCTCCACTGCACCGCTTCATTTACAAAACCAGACAATACGAATGGACAGAGATGTGATGTAAAGCGATAGTGATGCACGTCATTTAACATGTGTGGTCTGTCAAATTCCTGGAAATAGGTTGTGGGGTAATAGTCTACTCTGGAGCGAACTGGTTGAATTTGCTGCTAACGTCCTCCATCAGCTGTGCAGCCAGAGTAATGGCACAGAGATGGTCAATTAAAGATTAGTTTTATAAAAGATTTAAGCATGTCATTATTAATCCTCTGTTTGCTTCCACAGTCCACACTAAAGATGGCATTTTCACTTGAATTAGCCGTCCACATTAAAATGTCTAGCTGTAAAATGTATTTGTTTCTTTTCATTTATAAATTTGTTATGCATAGGAGTCGGGTTGCAAATATCTAATTGCTTTTCTGACCAACATTGAGTTACGATTTTTGATTAAACATGATGGATCATTTTGTTTGGTTTGAAAAGAACATATTCAAGAAAGTTCGTGACAAAAATAGATAATAAATAAAAATGATAATAATAATAATAATAATAATAATGAATTGGTTTTATTCAGCGTTTTTTGGACATGCTTCACAATACGTTATTCTTCCATACGTGGTGGTGGTAAACTACTACTACTGTAGCCACTGGAGTCCCCAGAAGTCTCCCATCACAGTACTAACCAAGCCCTGCCCTGCTTAGCTTCTGCTGGTGGCACCACATACTTAAGAACATACACATGAAGCGATTGCCTCTTACTCAATTCCCCACAAATTTCAGAAAATGGATATAGAATTCTAACCTACAGTACAACCATTGCCTCCTTGTAAATGATTCACTGCAAAAATGTTCAATGTATAAAAGCGCTGGAATGAAAGAATTATTATGTTTTTTTACTAGCCTGAGTTGTTCAACACACACAGGGAGTTTATATAAATTATGGAAATTATGATATTTCTCGTTTGGAATTAAAAAATAATGCTTCTGTCCAATAACAAGACAAAAGATAAAAGTTTGAAATACAAAATATTCTCAAATCAAGAGACATTATCTCAAATAAAGTGTTGTTTTTTTATCTGTCTAAAATGGCAGCCTCCACTTTAGCCCCGCCCACACCTGTGATGTAGGCACAGAACAGTCTACATACGCACAGGCTTACATTCAGGGGCTTTAAGAATAACAGCAATTATTTTGCAGTGTACAGTCCCAGGCTAAGATTTAACGGTTTAGGGTTTATCCCTGTTTGTACCAGCCACAAAATGGGATTCTACGTGTCTGTTTTTTGGCTTGCGAATTGCAAAAACATCACAACACTCACCAGCACCTCAATAGCTCTTCTATTCTCCAAGGTGCATTCCGACACTCTCTCGGGGAAAGCACAATTTTTCCGAAGTCGTCTCTTCAATGCTCTCAATTATCTACTCTGAAGCAGACAGAGGACATTTGGACCACAACACAGCGTGTGCTTTTGTCTCTGCTAATTGTTGACCGCCGGGACGTGTGCCGCGTCTCAGTTGGCAGCTTTGAGATTTGCATCTTTACTGCACCTGACAGAGAGCTCCCACTGACCTTCAGAATACATTTGTGTTTTTTTGTTTTTTGAGGCTTGCATTTTTTGTTGAGGGAGCTGGTATCCTTTATGTATTGACAAAAGCATTGTGCAGGGGAAAACAAATGAGTCTATCCTCCATCCTCACCCACTCTCTTTGTTGATATTTGCATTAGGAATCAGCCTGCTTATTCCTCCCGAGGCCATCCCCAGAGGCAAGATCTATGAGATTTACCTCACCGTGCAGAGGAGGGAAGATTTAAGGTGGGTCTGATTAACACTGTCTAACTGGCAATCTTCCCTGGACGCTACTAGAGCTGTTTGTTTTGATGCACTACTGTTCCATTAGGAAGGCTTTAGAAGTTGTCTTTGGTTGTCTGAGAGATGTAAATAAATTTGCAACCATTCACCAGGATGTGCACTCTTTAAGTTCAATGAATTGTCGAGAGAAATGCAGTCAGTCTCTGTAAGCACACGTAGGCCAGCAGGCGTCTGTAATGATGTGGTGACTGTATCAAACGCTGCACATAAAGAACATGATAACACTTTGTGTTGTTTAGGTTGCCCCTGGCCGGCTGCCAGACTCTGCTCAGCCCGGTGGTGAGTTGTGGTCCTTCAGGGGTGGTCCTCAGTCGCCCTGTGATCCTCAGCATGGACCACTGCTCTGACGCTTGTCTGGACAACTGGGCTGTGCGACTCAAGAAGCAGAGCTATGATGGCGCCTGGGAGGTGAGATCGCTTAAGTTCATTTCAAAGCCTTTTTATTGTTTCCATCCAGTGAATTTAGGAAGTCAGTCTGAACTGGCATATTTTCTCTGAGAAAGTAATAACTTTCTCTGCAGTGGCACTTGAAAGCACTTGATTTTGATGGAGCTGGCTTTACCCAATTCAAGGCCACTTTATAATGTTTAAATTGTATTGGCCATCAGGTGTTTTCTCAATGGACTGGAACAAAAGCCTGGAAGCTCTGGAGCTGTCAGCTCCAGAGTTGCTAGGCAACCCAGCTCTGAAAACAGAATTTCTCTAAGAAAATTACTGATCCTCAAATACTCCTCTAGTGCTCCTTGACCATTTTTGACCGCTGCTTCCAATTACAGAGTTCCCTCCTCATTTTTCTAACCATGAAATTCAAAAGTATCCAACTCCCAGAAACTCCAAAAAGATGGAGTCGGGCTGCACCTTTGGCGCAGACACTAACACACAGATGTCCATACAACAAACATGGCTGTGGGCCATACAGTCATCTCCACAATCCGGAGAGATTGGAGTGTGTGCTATGGAGTGTTAGTAGGTCTTCTTTCATGTTCGATATTGTGCATAAATAATTCAGCATCCCCATGTGTGGTGGTTGGGTGTCTGTGGGATGGATTGGCCTGTCTGAGGCTGAGGTTAGACCAGCTCTTTTAATCATCAGCACGACCAAATATAGCCGGATCGGCCTCACTTCACGGCCACTTCAGGAAGAACCACCAGGTGGACAAGATGTTCAGGGAAAACAGGTGAAATAGGAGTCAGGGACAAAGGCAAACAGACAAGTGCGTAATGTAGATCTAGGACAGTGATTAGAAGTGACGAGTGGACATATTTCATGCTCTGAAGCAAGCCCCTGAAAATATGTTATAAATAAATGATTATCAATGCTTTTTGAATATTCCGTTAGTAATCCACTTCCCTTCCATATGCAGCTTAAAGAAATGGTAAATGTTGTGAGTGAAAAACAATGGAAGCTATGATGAGGTTTAAGAGTGCCACCTTTGGTTGGCACCTTTGTTCTGATCAAACTGAAGAGAAATTGACCTGAAGAAAGATTTCACTATTGACCTGCTGGTAACATTGAATATAAGGAATCAATTTGCTTCAACTTTCATGTCAATTGTTCATGCATTATTAACTAAACTGATGGTGTTCCATAACGCGTGTCTTTGACTGTGTCCTAATCCGTTTGTGGTTAAAGGGGAATTTGTGACGTGAACAAAGTATTCCCTATTCTCCTGATCTTAACCTTATGGAGCATTAGCGAGAATACTTTAAGCTCTGGCCTTCCGTTTTGCCACAGGACTGACGTGGAGACTCCTAACAAGGATGCGAGCTAAAATGAACAAATCACAGGTAGATTAACCTTCCCCTCCTTCCCCCCTTCAGGACGTCCTGCTGATGGGAGAGGAGCCGGTGGCAGAGCCCTATTACTGCCAGCTGGAGGCGGAGACGTGCCGGCTGTTTGCAGAGCAGCTGGGCACCTTCGCCCTGGTGGGAGAGTCGCTCCACATGGGGGCTGCCAAGCGTCTGCGCCTGGTGCTCTTCTCAGACGCCTACTGCTCCACGCTGGAGTACAACATCCGGGTGTACTGCATGGACGACACGCAGGATGTGTTCAAGGTAGGACTCACACAATTATGTTTCATGTTGTAGTGGTACCAAACACTTCAACGTTTCAATTTAAATAATGTATTCTGGAATTCAAATCTGTGATGGAAAAAAGTAAAAGAGATAGAGACATAAAAACATATAATCAGAGCTATCTATAAAAGCTTAAGGTCTAATTAATGTCTATTTTGATATCCAAAGATTGTTAACAAATAAAACTGTTGTTGACAATGGCGATAGATCAAATGAGTTAAATTCCGCAGAGTTCAGGCAAAAGCTGTCTATATTTACATGATCCTTTTCACATTTGTGTGTGCTTTCTTTTTATTATCAACTTTTATTTTTATTTTCTGTTTATTAAAAAAACGCTCATAAACACACACAGGTCCAGCACAGAAACCAAAACGCAAATACAAAATATTGAAGTCTGTACAAAAAGAAAAAAAGGGCAGGGTTGGACTTTAAATATTCTGCTGGTCCACATTTTGACATTATGTTAACATTAATTACTCAGTTTCCACCACTTTTGTGTGCACATTTGCATTGTTATTTTGTTCTTTGTTACTTTTGTCATAACATTGAAGGTTTGTGAGTGTTTGTGTTGGGGCCAAGCCTATGAGATGTTTGGCTGCTTCACGCTGTGAGCCGTTCTGCTCAGCTGCTGCAGGCCACTTAGTTTCCCATCACTTAGTACAACGCCATACCCCTCTTTTCATTTTTGTGCTCCACATGGACAGAGTATAATCAAGCACTAATGCCTGCCTGGCTCCCCTGAGGACTGCCTCTGAGTAGCCTGTTAAGATTTCATTTGCATGCTTAATTACTAAATTAAAAGGAGAGCCTGTCCCCATCTTTTCCCAGCATCCCCTCTGCTCCCTTTCTCTCTCTTAAACTCTTGTCCTACACCTACGCTACTACTACAAGTGCCCCTTGTCTCTGGAGCTCAGTCTGGGTGCCTGTAATGGCCGACCTTCTTGTACACAGGAAGTGCACCTTGACAATTTATGGATGCCATGAACAAAAGAAGGGGCTTGAGATTAAATGAGTGCTCTTCTGTTTAAGTAGCTTGAGAACAACCTCACAGCAGCTGATAATGGTTTAGAAAAGTGTATTGGTGGAGCTAGAGCTTCAGATACTTAATAGACAATTGGAACTTGATGAAGCCGACATACATGTGTTTGCTTCTAGAATCCAGACGCAAATATCTGCTGGATTTTTATTAAAGGACAATGTGGACTTTGGTAGTCCGTGACTAGTTGGCTGCTCCTGATATCACAGAGGGATTTTTGTTTTGCTGCAGTGTGACTGCTGAGTGACCTTGTGTGTCCTGTTTGAATGCATACGCCTGCTGCTGCACAAAACTCTTTCTCTGGCTCTCCCAGCCAAGAAAAGGACATCTGAGCTTGTTGACTCCAGCACTTGTGCTGCCATACACTGGTCTCCCCTGACGCCCTTGAGTGCATTAGCTTACGGCTCTCTCACAACCTGGGCCTGTGGTAAGCCACGGCATCTCTAGGGTTTTGTACTTTTTAGTGAGTGATTTAAAACATGGCCCACACTGTTTAGCAGTCTTGACTTCACACAGCTCTTGGTGCGATTATGGAAGGAGCAGTTCATTTAGCGAGTACATTAACCACTTTGAGTGGCGATTAAACTTCCCTGGAGAGGTTCAGCCTAATCACTAATCACTATCTTTAAAATGCACCATTTATGATTAGACTTGCACTATGGTAAGCATTAGACTTAATTGTGAAATGGAATGACGAAGGGAAGCAGTGCCACACTCAAGTGGCTCAGGACTTGGAATTAGCACACATAACATAACCCTAACCCTCCACTAAAATAACATCCAATGCCAAAGCCTGTTTGGTTGAGGTGTTTCCCAATGAGCGGAGTATGACTGTGGAGTGATGCAGAGATTGTCTGTCACTGTTGCCGTGCCAGCCTCATCAGCAGCAGACACACATCCACACTTATGCATGCTGTACCATCCCATCTCTTATCTCCCAATTACAGCAGATTAGAACCAGTGTTATTGTCTTTGATCCTGAGTGTGCGGGGGCTCTGGGGAGTCAGTGACATTTCTGTCTGATGCCCGCCGTATGTTAGTGGGGTTCTGCCGGGACCAATTAGGTTAATATTTAATGTGCATCCCAGTCTTGATGGGACGGTCCAAGGCTGGCACAGCAGCTGACGAGACATACTTGTGTCTGCCTGTGCCCTTGTGCTGAGGCAGTTGTTCCAGCTGCAGTAGTGGGGCGCACTGATGCGGTGCTGCTGGTGTGGTGAGATGGCATCTGTGGCAAATAGTTTTTTGAGGAAGGTTATCAGTTTTATATACTTATATTTATATCAATATCTCTATATAATTTTCATTTTAGAGATTTGTTTTAATTATTGAGATAGTTACAGAGAATGGATAGTGTCCATTAAGCATAAAATAAACGGTAATTCTCAACAAGAGAAGAAATTAACTTCTCGTTGCTCATGACTGATGGTTCTTCCTGCTTGCCCACGCAGTTGTCTTTTGTTGACTTGTCCTTTCATTTTCAAAGGGGGAAAAAGAACACCATGATTTCTGTACTGCCCACTTTGTGTCAGATTAATGTTTATGAAGGATGAAACACAGAAATCTATACTCAGCATTAGGCTGTTTTGCAGTGCACATTGTTCACTATTTTCCCTTAACAGTTGAAAGAGCTCATAAAGCTCAATATTTGAGTTAAAACAATGTGTAAGTTTTGTATTACAGAAAGATAAGTTTATGCTTTCATCAATATTTATGCTTTGAGCCCAGGACATTACGTAGCTACAGTTGTGCAAATGAGCGTTCTGCTGTTTTAAATGTCCTTAAGAGCTAACAATGAGATAAAATACTATATTTACATTTCCTTTCTCATGTCCAGTGCTTGTGTGTGTGTGTGTGTGTGTGTGTGTGTGTTGTGTGTGTGTGTGTGTGTGTGTGTGTATGTGTGTGTGTGTGTGACTACCATGACTACCAAATATCTTCCTTTGTAAACCTGCAAAATGAAGAAAAACTCCAAAGCTTCATTATGTTCCAGCGTGCCCTTATATAAGGTGATAGATTCTTTAGTGCAGTGGTAAATGTATGTCGTCGTCTCCTGGTGCCATCTCACATTGACTCTTGCGTCTGTGAATCCACAAAAAGCTGCAGTGCATCGCTTAAGTAATTGCCAGCATTAACTTAAAGGAGACAGTCTGCTTTATCACGGTGCGTCGCAAAGAACCAGTTTCCATATTATATTTCGTGTTCCCGAATGCTGTTTTTCTCCCTCCTGTGTTGTGATTTATCAGGCAAAATGTGTACCTTTTCCCAAGAAAACATGCTCTCCATTTATAACTAGCTTAGACAAGTCCCTTCTATTTGTAGTTATTAATCAGTGTTGCTTGTAGCAGGCAGAGCCGATGCAGCTCAGACTGATGGACTCTCAGTCAGAGGAAAAGCCTGTCTCGTCGCCCTGACAAATACACCGATTTATGAAGCCCACATAGCCGGGACACTCGCTCTAAACAAATGCTGCTGTGAAAATGGATCATCTCTCAATGCATATATTTAAAACATACAGTGGCTGAAGCAGAGGCTGTGGAGGAAGGCGGGTTTATGAGGATATTAGCTCCTCGCTCTGCTTCCCACAGCCTTCTGAGTAATTAAGTGATCAAACACTAGTCATAATCCCTGTTATATATGGCTAGTAACTAAACAGTTTAGTGGACAACAAGTGTGTTTAATTAGGAGCATGTGTACAGGATGACCTCCCAGTGGGGATATTTTTTTCATAAGCTGAGGATGGGTCACTTTTTTTAAACTCCGGCCAACAAGAAACAGACAAATAATTAACCAAACCTATGCTTTGCCCTAGATGTACTGTAAGTTGTGTAAGTTTTTACCATTTTAAGTTATGCCAAAATCAAATCAAATGTATGAAATCTGAAGTAACCCTTGATTCTGATATAAATATTATGTTTTGCTTGCTTGTGATAGATGACAGTGTGTTGAACCCAACATTGTCTTACCTCAGTATAACCCTTGCACTGTACAAACTTTAGTTTTTGGATGTTTTTGTTCAGGGGTCCGATTGGGGCTATTATTGCTCCAGGAGCGTGTGTTGTGCTGCTGCTAACCTCTTTCTGTCAGCAGGGGCCCGGAGAGATTAGCTGTGAATGTGTCTTGTTTCCCAGTGGAGGCTGGCCTTAGTCCATCTCTGTCCCAGCTCTGGTCCAAACTGAGGGGATGTTGGAGCAGTAAAGTGGGTAGTGGGGGGTGGAGAAGGGGTTTGAAGTCATAGAAAAGTGTGTCCGTGATTGCAGTAATCCTGTTATCTGGGCTGCTAAAGCTGGCCACTCTAGTGACCTGCAGACACAAATGTTAAGCTGCTTCTGTCTCTGCTCTCCTGCTCCGACTCCTTTCCTCTCGTCTCTCGCTCTCTTTAGTCGGCCTCATTGAATGTCAGGGGGTGGTCTGACTCCAAATTCACAGTCCTCACACACACCGCAGGCCATCTCAGATTCCTACAGAACAAAAGGGCTTTTTCTCCTGCAGCACTTGAACCCGTCACCCACCTCATGCATCTTAATGTGGACCGGTTGTATAGGGTCAGAATGATCTAATGATGATGTTACTCATCATCACTTTTGTGATGAATATGCGTTTTCTGAAGTTATTAAAAAACTGCACATTGTTTTTGTGCAGAAAGAGTAAATAATCTGGTCAGATTGAGCGTCCAATCTATTAGTTGCCTGTCATTTGATAAACAGGATAATGGGCCGTAAAGAGGCTCATTATTCTCTCAGTCTAGAACATATGCTGAAATGCGGCAGTCACACACTGTCATTTAGAGGGGACAGAGGCACGCTGCAGCTGCAGCCTGCTCCTCTGATGCTGCTCTGTGTCTGTCAGGTAGACGCAGGAGCATGTCCTAGACCTGTTCGATCCTAATCTTGCTGTGTCAGCCTTGAACCTGACAAACTGTGAGACAGGCATGTTAGTATTCACTCTACTAACGTGATGTTGATAATGGGATAATTGGCATTCTGTGGTCTTTGCCTTCCTTTGCTTTCAGCTGTATAGATCTGTGTTACAGGTCAAATACCTGATCAAAGTCCACCAGCCTCGATTTGCATTGCTAATAAGTCTCGACAACAAAATGTGCTTAAGAACTGTGTTAAACGAAGCTATTTGGATGGCCTCATAATGTGCCTTTGTCTGGCTAAGAGACATAATAGCAGTGGGGTTTTTAATTCTGTAGAGAATGCTCTGCCCCCTGTTATTAACTCATTAGACCTCAGCGCTTTGATTCACAGCTCTGTCTGACCTTCCCACACTGAGCAAGTGGCTGTAACATCACAAAGCTGCAACACGAGAGAGCAGAGGCTCTGTTACAGCACAGGGCATTGTATATGTTCTATTCACTGTGCCATTTTGGCGATATGCAGAAGAAATCAGCCGCAATAATCAGGAGAGCATAATATTCATGTTAACAAGACAATAAGCTCGGAGCAAACATCCAAATTAACAATCCACTGTGCAAACAGAAATGTATTTCTCTGGCTTAGCTGCTGCGTGCTCTTTCAGTGGAGGAGATAGTATAGAAATCACAGGCGCAGGTAACATTCCCATCATAATCAACTGCTTCCTTTCCTCTTAATTGAAATCAGTGCTGCCCTTTCAAGGGAACAAAAAATTGAATCACTATTGTTCGGACAGAAATAGTCATTTTCTCCTTGACTTAAATGTCGTTTCATATACTATACCATTAGAATCTGTGCTGGATGGAATCATTGGGCATATGGCCCATCATCTCTGTTCCTCTTCTCTCAACGATGAGGCGTTTTATACGTGTCCAAGATCATTTCTGCTGCCATCTTACATACTGCATCTCACAGACATAGTGTTTCATTTCCTTTCACTGATGATTGAGAGGTCTGTTTTTCACTCTTGTAATATGCTCCCCTTGATAATGAGTATGATGCAGAGTATAGCTCTTAAGGGCAGCAAAAATCTAATGCATTTATCTTATTCCAGATGGTCTATTTAGATGGTGGCAAATGGACCACAGAGCCAGTCCCATAGAGATAAAAAAAAAATAAAAAATAAACATGGCTCTACAAATCGATTCTGGCACAAAAATAAAAAACGAAATGATGGAGATTTACCATGCGAGAACAATAAACACTCGACTAATTGCCTATTGACTCATCTCATCTCAGAGCAGGTAAACTGAATGTGCTCTGCACAATTAAAATGCAGATGGAGGCAGAGATCAACCTTGTGATGACATTAGGACTCAGGGCTGTCACGGCTCGCAAGGACAGGACCCTCTGACCAAATATGTGACACGGCCGTTTGTCTCACATTCATGTTTGTCCTTTAATAATGGAAATTATATTGTGAAAGGAAAACGTGTGCAAAGTCAGATTGATGTAAACTATGTGATATAAACTGGCTGCTAAATGTGGGATAGAATGGTCGATCTAAACAAATGCTGCTGTGAAAATCAGTGAGAGGAGGAACAGAATGCAGGTTTATATTTCTTGTTTATGAAGCCAAAGAGGAGGGTAACTTTACAGGTTGTTTTGAAACGCTAGCCCATGTTGAAAGGTGTTGAAAGGAACAAGAAACCAAAATTCCTGGGTTTGGTTTTAGTCTGGTTCTGGTTTTAGTCTAGTCTTGGTCTGGTCTTGGTTTGGGTGACCAGACCCAGACCCTTTTTTCTCATTGTTTTTGTCCTGATAATTATCTGAATTAAATTTATCTTTGGGTCAGTTTTGTCGGGTCAGGAACCTTTGGCTCGGGAGCCAGATGTGGCTCTTTTGATGATTGCGTCTTAGGCCTTAAGACTAATTTTGTATATATATTCATAAAAAATGGAAAATACATTTTAAAGTAGAAGACTTTTTTGGCTCTCTGCTAGAAAGGTTCCTGACCTCTGCTTTAGTGCGTAGAAATATTGCAACGTTCCAGCTCCTGCTGGGTTAGAAATATATAATTGCGTTTACAATTTGATCTGGTACTTCTGATGTGAAGCTCGAATAATGTTCAAAGTGGAAAACCGAAACCTGAAAGATATGTCTAGAGTTTAATTCCCACTATGCTTTAAACTAAATAAGACTGGACTTGATTTTCCATTAAAAATAGTCAAAATGCACTCACATTAAGAGAAATATTACCTATTGTTTTTAGCATATCTCTTTTGACATTTGTAGTGGCCACATTAGTATAATATACAACAAGAACATTTGCAGTTTGTAAAGAAAATAATGTAATCCAAACAATTGATAGGCTTTGTAGTCCACCAAAATTGTGATTTTGATTCCATTGTGATAAATGGAGTAGCCCTATATCTCATGCATTAAAAATAGCAATTGAAATCCTAACTAAGACACAATGGAGATGGAACCACAATATTTTTCCACTTAAATTATAAACTGAACCAGCAGCTCTGTTATTTAATGTGCATGAACCTGTTTTTTGTGTGTTATTTCAGGAGGTGATGGAGATGGAACGACAGCTCGGTGGCCGCCTGATAGACGAACCTCACGTCTTGCTCTTTAAAGACAGCTACCACAACCTCCGCCTCTCCATCCATGACATGCCACAGGCGCACTGGAGGAGCAAGCTGCTGGCCGGATACCAGGTGTGTGGGGGGCGCCCGGGGGCATGGGGCCGAGCAGTCACCATCAGCATCATCATCATCAGACAGACACCACAGAGCAGTAATAGAAGTGCCCTGTTCTATATGTGCGTCAAAGGTTATTGCACTGCCTGGCTCATTTGTAGCTATCGAAGAAAGCCTGGGGTGCTGATATTTTCCAATTTACTGTCCAGAGAAATTAAGTAAGAGCTGCGTACATGTAGCCATGCAATGCAATATCACGTCTTTAGTATTGTCTCAGTTGAGTTGGTAAATTGGGTATTTTCATTATGTTTCTCCTCCATGTATTATTGTGTCTTAAAGGTGATATCAGCAACTTAAATTGTATTTCATTTATTCTAAATTTTATATATATATTTATTTTTTAATGTATATTTATGACCATGGAACTTTGTACTATTGTGTAAGTCATTGTCAACAAAAATGTATTTAAAAAAGTCCCTCCCATTGGCTTAACCACCAGTTTAGTATTAGCTCAAGGAGAATGAAGCAATGACAAAGGGCCTCAAGGATTTGAATTCATCAGGTAGCTTCAAAAAATCTCTTCACAATTAGAAAAATCATTGACATTCGACAAAACTTTAATCTAGTTCATGGCTCTAAAACACTTTTACCACTAGTTTTCACATAAATGTATTTTTGACCAACAGATCCGAACAGAGAGAACTACCCCCACCCAGGGCTCTATTTCATGAGAACGCAAAAGATGATTTATGATGTGGTCTGAACATTTTACCTTTCACAAAAAACAGTATTATTTATAAAAACAAAAAAGTTAGGTAGCCCTGCTAAACTTTCCTTGCAAAACAAATATCTCTAAAGGCTTATATCCCCAGTACAGCATCCTATAGCATTAACAGTAGTGTATGCACATTCCACACTGCTCACATCTGATTTATTATGGCCGTGCGCCTTTCCTCAGAGGTGCTGCTTTGAAGTGGAACACTATGTAAATACGAGCTGCCTGATTCTGGGACCTCTGCCCCTCCTCACACCTGCACGTCCCCCCCGGCTGCCCTGTGATGGCGGGCTCCCGGCCCGCTCAAAAAAGGAGATGGCTGTAACTGTGTATGCACCGGGTCCCTGCAGAGAACACAGAGGCGAGCCACAATGTCCCCCCACAACAGAAGCTGATTCCTCTGGACTGCGCCTGTTCATTTGGAAGCGCTATTCCCCTCTCAGCAGCGCGGTCAAAAAAGGCCTTTAGTCTCCCTGGGGCCGCTTGGAAGTCGTGTGTGTGCTTTCAAACTGCAGCCCCCACTGTTTTACACCGCATCTGCCTTTGTAAGAGTGCCCCCTGTTGGAGCCTGCGCTGAACTGCAGGCTTCACAATCTCGGCGTGAGTGATGAGCTGATGCGCCAGGGCCAGAGTGAGAAGTGGGTGTGCCCCAGCTTTTGGAGTTACCCCTCAGTGCTTCTCTGGGGATATGTAAACGAGCCATGAATATGCAGCTAGGGGGAGAGAGATGTAGATATTGTCAAGCTTGAATAAATTCCCTTTTACCTGGAAGGGAGAAAGAGGCGCATTGCGATTATCGGCAAGGTCTATATGCGCAGAGGGTTTCCAGTAAGTGGTGCTTTAATTTATCCACACTGAACTGATATTATTAATTTTACATGGAGCTGGTATGAATAGAAGCGGGGCCATACATAGGATTGATCTAAAATATAAAGTAGATTTGCATATTCAGAATACTGTCATTGTAACGTTACTATTATGGAATATATAAAGGCATCAGATGAGACTCCCTGAATACTTTTGATGGAAAAGACTGTATTATTATTGTTTATACCTTTGTGCATGTGAAGCACTTTGGCTGTGTGAATAAAGTTGATGTTGATATTTTGAATCAGAAAGTCAATGTATAATAGCCCTGAAAGCCATAATATTATATGGAGTAATCCAACATTATCATCAACTGTCACCAGCAAATTTCAAATGTAGACAAATAAGATTACAGGGTATAAGTGAATGAGACAAAAAAAGGGAAAATAGTACGCTTTCACAAATGAGCAGGGTCCTAAACTCTCTTCATAATTTGAAGTTAATAGAAAAAGCGAAAAGGTCTGAAAATCATCTCTTCAATCTTCGTCGCATAACTCGATCAGCTGTTGTCTCTGCTTGTTAATTTGGATTTTACAAATGATTAAATAAAGAATTAGAATAATGTATATTTATCAGCCATCGGTGTAAAGTTGAACTATTGAAGCCACGGGATATTAGGGTTATCAAAGGGTTGTAAAACTGAAATTGTTACCAGATGCTCATTTGAACAAGTATTGATTCTAAATCAATCACACAAGAGCGGTACATCTGGATATTTCCTGAGCTGTTGTATGATTTAGATCTATGGAGGGACTATAGTTCGACTTTGTGGCACCATAAAAAGTACTACTGTTAAAAAACACAGCTTATTGAGCATATCTAAGCCATCAACGTGGTATTGTGTACTGGACGTGTCTTTGTAGTGCCAAAAATACATTTGAAATGTTTGTACTGTGACAACACAATAACAAAAAAAGAACATATTACAATTTAAAAAACATCAACAAACACAAACCGGTCCAGACCATAAAACCTTCCCTTAAAACTGTATTGTATTGTTCCACATGTTGATGGACCTCTCCTTAGCACCATGGAGAGCTCCAAGTAGGAACTATCCACAAATGTAGCCTCACCTTGTCGTCTCATTTTGGATTTTTGTTTTATACACAATAATATATATATTTTTAAATCCTTGACCACTTCGACGCACTCGAGCCGTGCCTGTCTGCATTTTAAAGTCAAATCCCTTTTGTGAACTGGTCCCTGCACCATTCTGCACTCTCCAATCACTCCCTGCTCCCCGTCTGTAATTAATGCCGGTGCAGATGTTTACGGAGCAGGACGGCCGTGCGCTTTAGACATATTTCTCACTGCTTCTGCCGCATTGGCGTGTGTCTTCCGCAGGAAATCCCCTTCTACCACATCTGGAACGGGTCCCAGCGGTACCTGCACTGCACGTTTTCTCTGGAGCGCCTCAGCCTCAGCACCTGTGAGCTCACCTGCCAGCTGTGCGTGTGGCAGGTGGAGGGGGAGGGCCAGACGTTCAGCCTCCACTTCAACATCGCCAAGGTAACACTCAGCTTTTTGTTACACTAATTACAATCCCCCCGACGTCGTGCCTTGCCGGATGCATCTCAGTAAATCCTAGTTAAGGCTGTGTTTTTAATGTTTGTTTAAGACGTTTAATGAGGTTTTATGGGTAACTATAGATGTAAAGGTCCACAGCCCATAAAGATGGAGAGGGCTGCACCAAAAGGACATCTGGTGTTGGGCCGGTGCTAAATTAATATGCTAATCGCTGCACTCTCCGACATTGATGATTTGATGTGATGTGATCTGAAAGTGTAACTATATCTTTTCGAATAGATGCCATAATACAAATTCAGAAAGTCTGTCTCAACAAATAAGTGAGCCTCTAATAATCAGAGAGTTTAGCTTTTGGAGGATGTTAGTAATATCTGTTTGGATGATAATGGAGTTGATCAAATCCACTGAATACAATTTATTTAGAAGAGATTAATGGACTATTGCGCAACTTACATTTTCTAGCCCTCTCCAAGAACCCATTTAATACTTCTATAAACTTGTGGCTGAGTGGATAGCACACATGCTTAACTGTAAGAGGGGTGCAAGTTCAATCTGGTGTTAGTCTGGACCTTTCTGTATGGAGTTTGCATGTTTCTGTGTCTGAGTGGGTTTCCCCCCCCCCCCCCCCCCCCCCCTTACTACCTTAATCTTAACCTAACAATAATTAGATTGATTTTGGTAGAATTTATATTTCCGTTTTACCCAGCCCTAGTAGGATTCATCTAATTTAGTTTCCAATTACACTATTTCAAGGTGCATTTTCTTTGTAATCCATTGTTGAAATTTGTTCAACGTTGATTGTGCTCAATCCAACTGTGTTCTCTTCACATTTAATTTTTTTCTTGCATTGTGTTTGTGCGTGTGTGTGCAGGACACCCGGGCCTTGGACTCTGAGTTCATGCTCATGGACAGTAGCAGCACAGCCCTGGCCGGTCCCAGCGCCTTTCAGATCCCGTACCTCATCAGACAGAAGATCTGCAGCAGCCTCGACGCTCCCTGCCCCAACGGAGCCGACTGGAGAATGCTGGCCCAGAGACTTAAACTGGAGAGGTGAACTTAGAACACTAAATTTGCATTTATTTACATATATGCCTGGCTGCTATCTTTGTAAATCACATAAGCCTAGGCGACATAGAGGTTTTTTATTTATTTTGGCTTCAGTCAGATTATTTTTCACTATTATGATGAGGATTTCAATTTAGGATACTTTTCTTTGCCATTTTTTTCTCCACAATGTGCAACAATCAAAAGACTTAACCTAACGTCAGATATTTCAAGCCCTAAGCTACATGTTGACTTAGGGTTGCTGTGGTAACCTCCCCAGAGCACCTTTGATGCCGTATAGCGGTTTGTTGAGGCTCTTGAGAATAGAGGTCACAGAGCACTTACAGAAGCTTGTTGAAACTAATGAAGAAGCAATCATTCCAATTGTCAGGGGTCGTCTTTAGGGTCCGGGGGTGAAGAAATCAGCTCATAATTGTACTTAATCAATGAGATTGTCACTAAAATGCTGGTTGTAAGTTGTTGTTCTTTGTTGGGGTTTTTTAGTTGCACATGGTTACAGGAATCCTATCCCTGTATAATGTTTTATTTTGGAACTAGGTAAGAGGATTAAAGAGCACACAGCGAAATTTCTGGTGGTTCAATTTTGTTTTAGGCAGTAATTGGAAATCAAGCAGGCACGTTGTCCATCAGTGGTCTAAAAAAGACAGAATGGGTTTGGAAGAGTGCCCAAGAGCGAGCCATTTCTCCCGGGTTACAGTACCTGCTCCAGCAAAAACCTCACATTGATCCCCATGCACCAATTTAATTTTGCCCTGGTAATGAAATCAAATAGGTACACTTAATTTGCCCAATCAACTTTATTCAACCCAATTAATCACAAATTGAATTGATGCACTACAGCCTTAATTAGCAATGTTTTGCTCAACATAATCAATCCTCATTTGGACTACAGAGCCAAGGAACAGAGGAGCCGCTGTTTTGCTTTGTCCCTAACAACTCAAATGCTGCAGCAACCGTTGACGTGTCGCGGTGTATTTCTGTCCTTTGTTTGTACGTAGCCTTCAGACTGGGACCAATCAATAAAACTTAAAATGCCAAGAACCTTTCATTTGATCTTTTTTCTCTCTAGACGGTGCAAACGGCTGCACTCGCGCTGTACAAGATAAGCTCATGTTTCACACAGAGAGGTGAATAAGCAGGACTGACACGTCGGACACTAAGCCTAGATTTTTTTTTTTCTTCGGAATAATGTCACAAAGACCACGTTCTTGGCCCTATTTATTTATCTTTTTGACTGGTGCTTCCTCGCTTCTTAAAATCCAATCAAGTCAAAAATAGCCCAGTGACTTCTTAAAGCCTGTCACGCTATTGCTTCCAAGCTTCAACACTTCACCAAGCAAACAAACTAGTGAGTTAAGATGGACTCGGTGTGACCTTCCAAAAGGTGAAAAGTGCTTTTTTAGACTTCCTTCCATCACACACACACACACACACACACACACACACACACACACACACACACACACACACAAGTCCCCCCTTTGTACCCAATGCTTTCTACCACTCTGCCTGCAATGTTGCGTGTGCACTACACAACTGTTAAACCCCCAGACATTTGAAGGAACAGAAAAAGGCCATTAAATCAAACAGGCATCTCCTGGTTCCATGGGGATCAGCTCCTACACAACATCAAATATACAGACGTGCTGGGCCGCTGCTTTGTTGGCATTGATTGTGTTTGATCGTAAAGGTTCTGCCGCCCAAATGGAAAAAAGGTCACTTCCGACTTAGCTGCAAAGTGCGTACAAGATTTGTTTATTGGGATTTAGGGCCAATTTCCACATCAAATAAAGAAAGAATGCGGCTTACGGCGTTAAATGAAAGTTGTTGGGGATTTTGTGTTGGAAGATGCTTTCAAGAGCGCTGCTTACACACTTGTATTATATTTTTTTCTATCTTCAACATGTTAGATCAGATGATGGCAATATAAAGAGTAATAAATGCTGACATTGACAGACTTACCAGCGGATGTGGAACAATAAAACATGGCTGAAAAGGTTTTCTTCTCATATAAAGAAACTGCTGTTTGCGCCAATACAATATCTGGCACATTTAATAAAAAAGGATATTGTTTTTTTTCTCTCTTTCCTTCTACAGACACATGAGTTTTTTTGCATCCAAAGCAAGCCCCACCTCAGTGATACTGGACCTTTGGGAGACGCAGCATTTCCACAGCGGCAACATCAACCAGCTGGCCACCGTCATGGCGGACATCGGCAAACAGGAAGCCATGATATTCCTGGTCTCAGACGGAGAGTGCTAACCCAAAAACTGTTGGAACTATTGGTTAAAAGGGGAAATGTTTGAGTCAAAATAAGTGTAATACCCTAATGTCTTTTCTTTTGAAGGCGAGGGTTTTGTATGGATTCCCTGCCATAACAGAACAAGCATTTTAAAACAACCAAATGGAGAAAAAAAGTGTGAAAATTGTATACATAAAGTTCCGTCCCGCAAAAAACAAATTACTATATCCACCCTCAAAAATGCCATTCAAGCATCCGGAAACGCCTTTGAAGAGTAGATTAACTTGCCTTTTAAACAGCTATATCAAGCAATATGCAAATTCATATATTTTCTATATGGCCAATACTGCAAAATTAAACTACACTAATGAGGGATGTGATGTTCAGGCGTTCTCGATAATTTATGCAACTGCAGTTCGTCTTAACATTACTGTTGTGTTAAACTGAGGCCATCAGGGTTTGTGAACTCCCCACCCCTCAATAACAGAGACATCCAGATAAACTTTATCTGGATGAATGCGTTTCGTGACGACTTTTGAATGTTCCGTTCCTGCTCTTAATGGAAGTGCTGTCTTTTACCGTCTATCTCTAACTCAACAATGATACCACACTTTTAAAGCTTGGGTACCTAACTTTTTTCAAACATATTACTTTTTGTTTTCCCCCAACAAAAAGGGTTTTGTAAGAGTTAAAAAGTAGATGTAAAATCGGAACGTCTTATTATAAAACATATTTTCCTCTTCCGATGGAAATTAGCGATTAAACAAATATCTCTGCTTAACGCAGAATGTAACTGTGCATTGCCCTGATAAATAAATGTTCAATGAAATCTAATTGCACTAGCAGTAATCTTTATATATCGGCTTTTCACTGCACATTGGAGTCTCAAAGCGGTTTACAATTGTTATTTTTTGGGCATTTGTCTGTCACTCCACACAGAGATGGGAGCGGGGTCGCCAGTACAGGAGGCACATGCCAGACCTATTGTACATATTTTTAGTGGTAGGGGAAACCGGAGTACCCGGAGGAAACCTACGCAGACACGGGGAGAACATGCAAACTCCACTCACAAAAGCCCTGGTCCGACTGGGATTCAAACCCAGGACCTTCTTGCTGAGAGGCGAGAGTGCTATCCACTCAGCCACCGGGAGATCCTTAATGCTGAGAGCTGATTGGCTGAGCAAGTTTTCCATGTTTCCACTAAAGCTGTGACAGAGGCCAAAACAACAAAAACATATATCACAATCATTAGTTCTGGCCCACAAGGAACTCAAGTTAGTTTTTCAAAAAGAAAATAGTAATATATTGTAATACAAAAATATAGATTTTTTTTTTCATCCCAATAACTATTATTATGATATATCACCATTCTAGTGTGATTTACCCAACACTGGTTATAGAATAGAACCGTTTATAGAGTAGGAACTAATTGAATGTATTGTATTATATAGTTCCAGTTTATTATGGTATTAAAGTTAGGTACCCCAGCTTTAAAATATTTCCTCCCAAAAATACAGTGCTTGTACTTGTGGTCATAATATTATGGTCAAAATAATGAATCCTCACTCAGTGTTATCAAAAATGCTTGACACATGAGAAGCAGGAAATATAGCTAAAGGGGATTTTACCTTCCACAAATAATTGAGCACTTGCCTCCTCTCAAGTGCCAACCATTTCCTTCATTTTTTTGTAGATGAGATGATGTGGCTTGAAGTCCTAAAAAGCCATGTTTGGGGGTTGGGGAGATGCACAGCGTTCGATTTATGCTAAAAGCTTATTTCCACATCAGAGAAAATGCTTATCTCTCAAAGAAAACCCCAGACTTTCATTCATAACGTCACGCTCACAAAAGATTTTTCCAAGTCCTTTTTTGTTGTTGTTGAGAAGTTCATTTGAAGAGGGAGAGGCAAAGAATAATCCGACATTTTTCACAGTCACTGCTGCTTTCACACACGTCCATTATTCGAGTTTCCTTCTTAGCGATAGAACACACGTCTTGCTCGCTTGTCCGGTCGCTCCTTTGAGAAGGTCTGAGCAATCCTAAACTAGCCATAGCTCTTTGTGTCTGTCTCAGGGTTGCATGTGAAGCGTCTGCTCGGTAGAAAGAGCCTATACAGCAAAGTCCCAGCTTTAGTTCCCCTCTGTCAGAGAACACCACAAAGATTGTCTGTATCGGGAATGTACAATTGTTATGGGTGAGAAAAGTCTAACACCATTCCCTATACGTTGCTTTTTTTATGCTGTATCACTCACTCCTTTTAAGCCCAATTTCCAAGTGCTGTTATATCGCCCAAACTGTCCACAAAAATGATATGTCACACTTAAAAAATGTACATACTTTTTATATAGCGGGGTCACTTTGCAAAATCGGTAACCAAAGTCCACCACACGCTCCCTTTCTACATTCACCCGCCACAGCAAAAGACTAAATCTCCTCTGTTTGTCAATTCACACTGTTTTTTGCGTGTGCAGGAATCTGTTTATTTTATGACTTTGTAAAGAAATGTATATTATATTTTAGTATGAAGCCAAAAAAAGACACTTGAGTGGCGCAGCATTTGTCAAGTCGAAATTGTGACGTGTTTGCCTATATCCTGTTCTTTGGCGACCCAGCAGCGGTGAAGACTTTCTGCAGTGTTATGGACATTTTAGAGACTGTTTTGCAAGTTTCTACACGTCCCATTGCGTCCTTAAATATGCGTGCGTATGATTATTTGTGTAACTGTTCATTTGCAGTGATGTGAGGGAGTTAAAGGGCTATCACTGCGTTTGCATACGTGACAGTGATGGGCACGACATTCCCGCTGGACCGCAGTATATATGTATTGATTTGCTTAAATACGTATTATCATTACTAGTCTGCTTGCTGAATCATTTGTTATTTTACATTTTTTCTTTTATATTTAAAAAATATTAAAAGTTGTCAATTGTAATCTGGCTGGAAAAAGTATATCCCAGATATAAGCGGAAAAAGTAAATCCCAAAACTAAACTTTCTTCACTAAATACAAATCAAAATCTAACTGAGACGCAAGTGTTTATGGACAAATATGAATACAATTTGTTTTAGACATAACGTACTTCACGTTAAAGAAGAAAACAGGGTGGATTTTTAGCTTTTTACAGAGATTAGAAGCAACAAACAGATGAAGCTCAGACAAGAAGCTAACGTTACCATTTTTATGACGTTGTCTACAATGCGAGAAAACAAATGTTATAATCAGCTTCCATCCATTATCCTGCTCTTTTGTGTCGTCGTTTGGGGCCGATCGTGCAGGGAAAGACGACGAAGAAACTTTTGGGTTATTTGGGCTTTAGAAAGTCGCTTTAAAAACGGACGAGGCGGGAAAGTTGAGTCCATGTAAACGCAGTGATTGCTGGAGGCTGAGGCGTGGACACGATGTACAGTCTGAGCGTATAAGTAATGCTATCACCTCTGTCACAGTCTGGGATTTGCTGTCTAAGCACATCTGAGTCATGTCAGTCAGTGTTTCCCAACTGGGGGTACGTGGACCTGAAATGATTTTGAATGAACAGCAAACTTTGATGGGAATATGGGCTACTATGGCATGTTGTACACTATTCTAAGGTTGTGTTGTTGAGAGAACAGCCCTGTAATGTATTCAATTCTAAACATTGAACACAGGACACAATTAAAAATAATAATTGGTTTATCTGTTTGAATATCAAGCCATCGTTACTTTAGGTTCTGTTTTGGTTCGGTCCAATTAACTACTAACAAAATACCATCATAATGTACAACAACTAAACTAAAAAATAATCATATGGAAAAAAATTAACTAAAACGAATTTTACACGGAGAAAATTATTGTGACCTTGGAAAAGCCCAAAAACTGCTGTGGCCCAAAAACGATGTGAAAGATACCCCCATTATCAACAGGGGTACTCATGCCCTAAATACGCTGGTAAAGGGGAACACGGGGCAAAAAGGTTGGGAACCACTGATGCTGTGGTGTTCAGCACTGCTCACATCCCTCAGACTGCTGAAGAAACCGGGGCAGAAACAAGTCACTTTTGTTGAAAGGGCTTCTCACTCCGGTGTGGGGGGATCATCCATCTCTCTATTGTCTGCTCAGTGTCATTAATATTCGTGTTGATGATGTGCGTTTGAGGGAGTTTGGGTCTGTGCCAAGCTCTGGTCAATGACTTCACTAAAGCTTCAGTTTGGAGTCAAATCAGTATACTTCTGTACCTGTGGATGTTTCTCTTCTGTTCTAGGATTCATGTTTCTTGCCTTTCTGCAAGTCAAAAATGCTGTATTTATTACATGCCACAGCGCTTATGCAATTGTATAATCTTTTCTCTTTTTTTTACCTTTTGTGTTTATTGTTCATGTAAATTGTTGTCAAAACTTTTTTGTGGCAATGGAAAAACTTCTGCTTAAGGAGATTTTCTGTACCTTTTGGACAATGATATGGATTTGTGGGTAGAATTTTGAAAATTCGTTTTTAAGTGCTTTCAAGTATTTACTTGGCCTTATGTATATATCTATCTATGACATTTCAGAAAGGTATGTATAGTAATTCAACCTGAAATTGGTGTAAATAAATTATATATTGTTACATTATGGACTGGGCTTATACTTTATTGTTATTGAAAGCAAATTTATGAAAGCAAACTCATTCATATTTTTTGGCACCAACCATCACGTTTTTACCATGTGGGTTCAAAGTGTTCATAAACTCACCTATGGTCATGAACTTTAGGCACAAACTATTTAGCAAAATGAGGGCCGACTGGGTGCTCATCCAACACACGAGGAGGAGCTCAGAGTAGAGCCACTGTTCCTTCGTGTTGAGAGGAGCTAGCATCAGGAGGAGGAAGACCTATGACATGCTGGACTGGGAATGCCTTGATTTTCCCGTGAGCTGGATGGGTGGATGTGTCATTTAAAATGGACAAACATACTCCAAGCCATGTATTAATATAGAAATACCAAACTTTATTTTAAAGCAGATACAAAAACTCTTAAAGGCACATTTTGAAGTATATAAATACAAATCTATTTCATAAACAATGTAACAATGAAGGAATACTTTTTATTGGCGTTCCCAGTTTAAGACCTCAATATGTTTTATTCTTAAGGCACTGAAACATTTAAAAAGTCAATAATGGCCCGTTTTGCAGGCACCGGTGTGTCTATTAAAAGAGGATCAATTCTGAATAATTCCCTGACTGTATAATAGATCATTAACTCTGTCATGTGCAGAGACCAGACAGTCTGACAGGGCAGAGAGGTCCATTGCAGAGTAGGTAGGAGACCCCTTTCTGCCTGGCTGGACCCCTATTACATTAATAGCTAGTGGGCGAGGACTCTGAAAGGGGCCCTACTTCCTTGCACTTAGCGAGGGGCGAATGGTACATCATTAGAACAGCAAGTGACATTATTACAGGCTCGATGGCTCCATCGACTCGCCTCGTCTGACAAAGACAGTATCTTACCCTCGGTCAGATCACAGACGGACGATGACCAGAGAAAAGCCAGTACTAACTGCAGTGTCCTTTACAATGTCCGATTTACAAGCTTCTTAAAATGCCAACAAGTACTGCAAATCCCCCTATACTGCAGTGGATTTGTAAATGAGCATAGGTGCCGTCAGTGCAAATAAAAAGGTGAAGTTTTGCAGATGCAATCAGCCGTAGTTTTAAGATCCTCCATTTTATTGATGCATACTGGAGTCTGTTATTCATTTTTCAGTTGAGACACAATAAGGTATAGTATCTACATTTTAGTTTGATTCTTTCTGAACATGGTCTACTGAGCTGTATGTATGAAAGAATATCATGTGAACGGTCATTCTTTAATTCTATTTCACTTTGACAAGAATATATTTTCATGATCACAAAATCCTGTAGTATCTCTAATTTGACCCATGTGATTATACAATACCCTAAATATTTCAGGTGCATTTTTCAGATTTTTCTTAACTTGACCAGCCCTGCATCATTCAGATCCTTTCGGGCGCCAATTTATTTCTTTTACTTTTAATCCCTGTGGCGGGAAAGTATTATTCATCATAAATAGATGTGGTCCTTCTCCTTGGCCTAAGCATCACCAATTCGATTTGTTGGAGGAGAATAAATAATAGTGAGCCTCAGCTGTCTATCATGGATTTGAGTTTGTTACGTCCAATCAGGTACCAGCGGGGGCGGATGCATAAAAAAAAAAAAAAAAAAAACAATATAGAAAAGTAACTACAGCAACTGACCTTTACTTTATTTATTTTTGACAACTGCTTGTATTTTTTTGGAAATAGGGAAGTTGTCTTTTTTCATTTTTTTCTCACAAAATCCTATTCTCACTCGGGGATAAAAATAGAACAAAAGTGCGATGCAAGCACTGAAACCATTGTTGATACTCAATTATAGCCACATTTTGATGTTTTTTAATTGCAGAATGATCATGAGAGCAACACTTAAGCTGGAAAATGTCATTAGTTATCGGACTTATTTATTAACTTCAGTATCCCACCACAAACAGGCCCACGATGGAGACATAATCCGTATTTGCCATCGAAGCTGTGGTGGTCATAATCTTGCGGCTGACTGGTTTGCATTAAAAAGAAGATATATTTGACTGAGCAGGGGAGTGCATGGTGCTGCAGAGGAAGAGGCTGAGGGGCTGGAGGTCTCACACGGGAGCGAAAGCGTGGCCCTTGCACAGCGGCTTATCCTTCTTTGAGTAGAACGTCTTCCCCTCCAGGTTGATTTGGCAGAGCTTTGGAGATGAAAGGAGGCAGATGGAGAGAGTGAATGATGAGGAAATGGGAGCTCCAAACAGACCAGTACACTGCCACTGCCAATGTGCCAACATAGATGCTCACACCTATAATATTTGCTTTGCTTTTGCCTTAGAAAAATCATACATAATACTGTATATCAACAGGCTAAAGGTTCTAGCAAGATGGAGCTATTGAACAGGGTGAAAAGGTGACCCCACAAAGAGCGGCATCAATCAAAGTGACTTACCGCACACACAAAGCAGGTATCGTGCCAGCTGTAGCCCAAGGCCTCCAGGAAGCGGTCTCCAGCATCAATCTTAAAGTCACAGCCGTGGCATTTGGTGCCAAACATCTTCTCATAGTCTAAAAGAAAGATGGAGATAAATGTGACGGGAGGCTCTGAACAAAGCATAAAACACTGGCATAATAAGGTCAACTCAAAAGTTTTATTCATTTTTGATTCACATGCTAAGTTTGGAGGTACAGTAACATGGACCATTTGAAAATAATGCATTCATTCATTTTTGGTATTCACATTTTGATAAGACTATTGAGGGCACATGTCAGTTAGTGTTTCAATAGAATAGCTGGAGCGATTGCTCACAACAAAGGAAAAGACAGCTTTATTAAAAGATAATTATTTGAGCCAAATACTTGAGTGATGCACCATTGGAAAGATAAGAAAAAAATGTAATTATCTACATGATTAGATGGGGATTTTAGCGTAATATTTGTAATTAGTAAATCACACAAAAATCACTAAAATAATACTAGAATTCGCATCACACTTAATCATCAATAGCTTTAATTGAATTAATACATTAATGTGTATTTAATAAAGCAGAAGAATATGGTTGACCTTTATTTAACCAAGAAAAACATCAGGGGAGTCTTGGCCCAGAGGCAGCAAAGGTAGAACACTACTTCACACTAAATCAACCACTTTTATCTATTAGAAAGTACTAGCATTATAAGCATTTGTTTCATCATACCTCTTTTCAAAGCTGTTATTCTTTGGTTTTTGTTCTGTAAAAATGTCTATTACAGGTTTTGAGATAAACATCCTGAGTGAGTGATTGACTAGAATAGTAAGTACCCTTAAAGAAAATGCTACTCATATTGCAGATCCATACGTTTGATTTGATTCATATACCTTTATTTCTTTCTTTGTTTGGAATGCTAATACTGAAATGTGACAATATCCATGGTCTCGTTGAAATATTAGCAGTAGTCTTTACACAGTGATCGCTGTAATCAAATGTGGACTTCCTGAAGCTGATTGATGCAGTTTTGGCTCTGATGATCCCGTTTGGAGCTGATAAATCTCATTCCTAGTATAAACAATAACTACTAGACACTTAACTGTCTCAACAAATCTGCTCTGAACTGCCTCCTCATGCCGAGTCAACACTATTTAACTGGGAGATTTTTCTTCAGCACATTGCGACAGCTTAATGCGTTTTCCAGGGGCCCAGGTTTCGCCCTCCCTCTATAAGGACACTTGATGTTTGGGGTTTTTCTCATGTAAACCCGTGCACTACACTTCCGCGGTTCCCCTCTTCAGCGGCTGCAACACCGGGGATTAGAACGAGGGGGAAATTGCTCCAGATACTTAACTGGATTTGCTGCTCTCTTTCATGGCAGCGACTCGGGCTAAAAGTGTCACGTCCTAATACCGCCGCTTCTCCAGAGCACGCAGCCACAATCCCCCCGAAAGATGCTGAGGCGGCAGAATGTTTATCAGCGCTAACGGCATTATTCAAAAGGAGAGTGCTCAGGTTGTGGTTGGGGCCTGTGATAAAGCCAGGAGTGAGGAGGGAAGCGCGGAGCAGCGGCTAAATCATTTACCGCATAATGTCGTCCACGCGCGCCATTCATAAAAGCCAATAGAGGGTACGGGGTAAACCGCGGCTGAATAGATAACGAAGATGAGAACATGACACTTGGTGATTGACTTGCGGGGGAAAAAAAGAGAACAGTTGTAGCCCTCACGGTGACAATACAGTGTGAGAGGAGGAGGGAAAGGGGGCACCGCATGTTTGCCTGAGGAGTGGAACGATACCAGATTATTGACCCTGATATCCCATATTTGTGTACATGTTCTATTAATATGCAAATTCTGCTGTAAAAAAAAAAGGGCTAGGGCTGTGATTAACGCATATTTTTTTGTACGATTATTAGTTCCATTCATCGATTTGTTTGAGTTTTTTTTTTACTTTTGACCAATATAAACCCGATTCTCCCTATCTATCTTCATATACTTAACAATTGTGAGACATCGGGTTGTTTGATAAACAATACCTGGTAAACATGTTTAATTCTATGTAAGGTTCAAAACATGATTCATCGGTTACTAAATTAGGAGAACCATTTCAATTATTTATGAGTTGTGATGAATCAATTAACTTACAGCCCTAGTAAAAAAACATTTGATTTATTGATGCATTGTATGTATGATGGTAGTTTAATTATTTTATCTAAAATATGTGTTTTGCAAAAGTACTCAAAAGATCAGCAAACATTTATATGAAGTAAAATTTTAGGAAATATTTCAAAAACATAGAATAAATGTAGTCATTCCTCCATCAGCCCAAGTTTCCAATATTTTACCAATGGGGATTTAAGATAAGATAAGAGAACCTTTATTCATCCTACAGTGGCACACAAGGAGTACACAATATACACAATATAAGTGGCTAAAATTCTTCTTAACTAGCTTTAAATGCTTCATTTTGAAAGGTCAAATGTTACTTCTAGATCCAGAAAGCGCTGGCCACTCCATACACTAGTATATACACAAATGACAGTGTTTGTGCACAGAGCATCACATGGACAAGAATCCTTAAAAGGAGAAAATCAGCCACATCTGCAGCGTCAGATTAACCTGTTGTTGCAATTGTGATCACAGTGTTATTGTTACCCTATTTGCTGTCAATAAAATATTTAGTAGGTCTTTGTCAGTGTGAGTGAGAAAGTTGTTGTGCCTCCTCGTGTACCGAGCTCAGCAGATTTGAGTTGTGTGTGAGGATTATCAGTGGGAAAACTTAGCGGGAGGCTCCTCTGCGCTCACATACTCTCAGCTGGAAATTACATTCATTTGACTCACTACAGATTTAGGTCACGCTTTTACTTTTTATTTATGCATTGTATTATTTTGCTGAAGTCTTTGAATTTTGCTTGGAATAGCACTCGTTTTGTGACTGGGAGAACAGTTCAAAAGGTAAGTAATAAAAGTTTTGAATCCTGTTAAAGATGCATGCTTTCTGGAAATAACACACATATGAACAGAGACTAATGGAAAACCTGTTATTTTTCACAATAATTGCAATGATTGTAAATATGAAAGTACTGGTTAATAATAGGATGCATTGCATCCTTGTGGAAGAACTTTACACGATAAGCTGCTAGGTTATACTCGTTAGCATTAAAGCCCGCCCACCACTTTCGGCCAGTGTTTTTCGCCATTGCAAACAATTTGTCAGATAAACTCATGCAGCTGACATTTTGTGAATGTGTGTCCAAGATGCATAAACGCTGCGTTGGTGGAGTGAAGTCTAATCTTCAAACACATAGTTTGTGAAATTACCAAAATGCAACATAATCACTATATTTTGTCTATAATAACAAACCTTATTTACCATTGGTCCAGTTTTGGACCACTCAAATTGTGTCAGAAACTAAATCCCCCTGGTCAAAATCCTTCCATATGTAATAAATAATAATAATAAATATTAAAAATAACCACAGATATAAAAGATGAGCTATAAACTTTCAACAACAAAAAAAACATATATATATATATATATATATATATATATACATATATATAAATAATAAAATAAATAATTGTCCACTCACCTTTGGCCCTCCGCAGGCGGTTATCCCTCTCTAAGCTCGGTCCTCTACCAGAGGCCTGGGAGCTTGAGGGTTCTGCGCAGTATCTTTGCTGTTCCTAGCACTGCACATTTCTGGACCGAGATGTCCGAGGTTGTTCCAGGGATCCGCTGTAACCACTCATCTAGCTTCGGGGTCACTGCCCCGAGTGCACCGATCACCACGGGCACTACTGTCACCTTTACCCTCCAGGCCCTCTCCAGCTCCTCTCTGAGACCTTGGTATTTCTCAAGCTTTTCATGTTCTTTTTTCCGGATGTTACCATCACTTGGAATTGCCACGTCCACCACCACGGCTGTCCAGGTGCTGGAGGAGAGCCCATCATGGGAGAACAAGCCTCTACACGGCATGTACCACCGGAGCATAACAGAAGTGGCTGATCTCAAGAAGTCCTACCAATGGCTAGAAAGGGCTGGCCTACAGGACAGCACAGAGGCACTCATCATGGCTGCACAGGAGCAGGCCCTGAGCACCAGAGCGATAGAGGCCTAGATATACCACACCGGACAAGACCCAAGGTGTCGGTTGTGCAAAGAGGCACCTGAGACAATCCAACACATAACTGCAGGGTGCAAGATGCTGGCAGGGAAGGCCTACATGGAACGCCATAACCAAGTGGCTGGCATAGTGTACAGAAACATCTGTGGAGAGTATGGGCTGGAAACCCCAAGGTCTAAGTGGGAAACTCCTCCAAAGGTGGTGGAAAATGAGCGTGCGAAGATCCTGTGGGACTTCCAGATACAGACCGACCGAATGGTAATGGCAAACCAACCTGACATCGTGGTGGTAGACAAAGGGCAGAGGACAGCCGTGGTGGTGGGCGTGGCAATTCCAAGCGATGGTAACATCCGGAAAAAAGAACATGAAAAGCTTGAGAAATACCAAGGGCTCAGAGAGGAGCTGGAGAGGGCCTGGAGGGTAAAGGTGACAGTAGTGCCCGTGGTGATCGGTGCACTCGGGGCAGTGACCCCGAAGCTAGATGAGTGGTTACAGCGGATCCCTGGAACAACCTCGGACATCTCGGTCCAGAAATGTGCAGTGCTAGGAACAGCAAAGATACTGCGCAGAACCCTCAAACTCCCAGACCTCTGGTAGAGGACCCGAGCTTAGAGAGGGATAACCGCCCGCGGAGGGCCAAAGGTGAGTGGACACAATTATTTATTATTTTATAATATTAATTATTATATATTATATTATATATATATATATATATATATATATATATATATATATATATATATATATATATATATATATATATATATATATATATATATATATATATACACACACACAACAAAATTAGACAACTCACTATTCTACATTCTGTTAGCAAAGTTTTTTTCCTCTCTTAGTTATTACTTTGTTTGCAGACATTAATCTGGCAACAAGGAAAATGCACAGCTAGAAATACAAATTCATAGTGTGAGCAGAGAATCCCGAACTTCCCCATCTCTTCCAGCTCAGAGGGAACAAACTGTATTTGTAAAAGCTTTAAATGAGCTCAATCTAAAATATGTCGATGAAATCCTTCAGTCTAGATTATACACATAGTTTAGGCACAATTAACACACGTTGAAATTGATGATCGGCCCTTGTATTGTTTACATTGTTTACATTGCCTCTGTAATCTCACTTTCCTTCCCTCACCTCTCTCGCAGTACGGCTCTCCCTCCTCCATGTAAAAGGCCTGGTTTCTAATGGGATTCTTGCAGGCTGCACAATTAAAACACTGGACGTGGTAGGTCATCTTCAGCGCATGCATAATCTCCTAAACAACAAAACAAACAACCATGTAACGTTTCCACAGCAGACTCGTTTTTGAATCAACAGACTGTTAATTCTTACTCCTGTAATCCTCTTTTTGCACTTTGCACAGTTTGGAGCGTATCTGTTGTCATGGCATTTGGTGCAGTAAACAGCTCCTCTCTCTTCAAAGAAACCGCCTTCGTCCAGCGTGATTTTACACTGCGAACAGGTGAACTCCTCAGGGTGCCATGAGCGCCCCAGGGCAACCAGGTAACGACCCCTAAAACACGCACACACACATACACACAGACACACACACACACACAGACACACACACACAGCCAGTCAAAACAAGAGACAGGTGCAGAGACATGTGCTGCTGAGAGATACCACTCCACTTTCATTGGCTCGACTTTATTGTGACTGCCCAGGAGGTCTGGTGATAAGAAGCGATATTTAAAGGCCAGCAGACTGTCAGATTTAGAGGGGCCAAAACAATGTTACAAAAAAAAAACTTTTTGTTAGAGGATTTACCAAGGAGTGCCAAACTCTTACAGGAGGAATATTAACCATTGTTATTTAGACATAAACTATAAATCATTTAATGTTTTATCCTGTGAAATATTATATTAATTAAATGGTAAGTATTTTCTCAAACTGTGGTACAGACCCGGTCTAATTATAGGTCGGGCTGCAGAAAGCCAAATAATAAAAAATCAAGTACATGGGTGAAACCCTGATCTACACTTTGTCCATTCAAGACCATCTTGAATGTAGTCATTTCTAGTTTTACATCCTGCCTCGTCCTCAGAGTAACCGTGTTGTGTATATGAGCTGTTTAAAGCATGATTGATTCAATGAATTTGTCCCATTGTGTTTGAACAAGAGTCTGTAAATGACAGGGCTGGAGGAGGCTGTATGTATCTTGATGAGTATATTGTCTAGAAACCAGATTTTCCAATGGAACAAGAATGAAGTGTCTTGTTTACTTAAATAATAATAAACAATTTCTCACTTGAAATTACTAAATGTTCTTTTTGGTTGGCAACAACAACTTCATTTGTAAGGCTGCTTTCTATATTTACAAGAATGTCTGTGGAAAAGTTGCAGAAATGTAGTTTAGATTAAAAATTAAAAGTTTAATCAATCTTTTTCTTAATATCAATAAATTGAATAGTGAGAACAGTTCACCTCTGATTCTGTTTTAGCTTTGACAGCCCAGATCCTGGGCACAGGAGGCATGTCTCTGGTCTCAACTACTACAGCCCTGTTCATTTAAACATTTATTCATCAAATCATACCAATTTTGTGATTTTGGGCAGTAAAAAACTATATGTCAGCTCTCAATAAAATTCAGACTATTTTACTAAATGATAATAGAAGAACAGGATGAGACTTAAATGAGACAACCATGCTACAACATCGTTCACTCGTCAAAAACAGAGTTTTTAGATCCATCCAAAATAATATGAGGATTTTCTAGCAGAATTATACAACTCTGCCACCTTGCCTTGACTAAATTAGTTTTGGTCCATTTCTCAAGTGAAATTACGCTCAGTGCAATCACACGGCTGAATTTGCAGCCTGAAATTTTTGCATTTGAAAAAAAAAAAAATTAATCTTGTCCCTCTGGTGGTTGCATAGGGGGTTACAGGCAGAAGCGTTTTTTACCCTTCATTCTTGTTTCATTACATATTTTCTACTCAAGATCATATTTCACATTCTGAAAGATGAAATGGCAAAGTAAGTAAGTCATGTTTATTTACATAGCGCCAGAGTCTGGCAGTGCAATTATTGTGGGCATTTGTCTTCTCACTCGACAGTGTTGGAAAGGGGATCGCCAAACAGTATTTTCTAAACATCAAAAACAACACATAACATTTCTTATTGAAACAATATTTCACCTGATGATCTTGTTGCAGGCTCCGCACAATGGGGTCCTGCCGCTGTCCTCGGGGGCCGCCTGCGCTGCCTGCATGATGGAGCTGCGGCTCTCCATGGGCGTTGGCTGGACCGGCTGCTGATGCTGCGTCACCACGGTGCTGGTCTTGTCCGGATGGAAGCGGTCGGCAAACTTTGAATCGGTGACCCACGGTGGACGACAGGACGGCGCCGCACTGCCCGCCGCCGCAGTTGCAGTTTTAGAGCCTGTGTTGGAGAAGAAAAATTCAATTCAACTTACTTGTATAGCCCTAATTCGCAGAGGACTTTAAAAAACCGTCAAATTCGCCAACACAAATCAGAGAATAAAACAGTTCAAACACAGGAAATGCAATGATAAACACATAGTCATTGATCCACTAGGGACAGATGTCCAATGTCCACAAATGTTGATACATTTTCACATTATTTGATTATCACCTCCTAACAACAACAAAATGTGGGGGAAAAAAGTGAGGTGGGGGTTTGCAGGTGCCGATAAGTGTTGCCTGGAAGAGACTTTGTGTGATGTGACAGTCGAGACAGATTTTATGTAATATTTCTGTCCAGATGTTTGCCGTGTCACATATCTGCAGAGAGGCCGCCGTATTGACACTTAATCAGAATCTATTAGCGCAACCTCCGCTGGTTCAGAGCTTTGTTTTGCAAGGGGAATTTTTTTTTCATAGCACAGCAGGAGACAAACTTACCATCTGGTTTATTTGCTGCTTGGGCCTTGGCAGGTGAGGGAATTGGCTCGAGGCTGTGGGAGAAAATGGCTAATTAGAAAAGGGTACATACGCAGAAAGCTCCATGCAACCATGGCTACAACACAGTCAATGTATGTCACTCAAATAATCACTTATGACCGACTGCCACTGTAAAGTACATTGAGTAAAGCCTCCCGTATGGGGAGGTAATGAGAGCTGCAGGGGCTCTTTCACGCACATGCAGTTTTGACTGACATATCTCAGAAACTTGAAGAAAAGAAAACTTGTTGAAACGTTTTGCTGTGACAGTTACAAAGACGTTTTCCTTGGAATGTGCAGTGATTGAAATAAAGAGTTCTTCAGCTTTTAAAAAAGGTGTGTGATCTGCATAAAACATGACAATATTCTGAAAATCTTCCAACCATGAAAAGGAGCTTTTAAGTCTAGACACTGAGCTGAGAAGAGGTTTTGTCTTAAAAATATATCATCGCCGTTACTGATGCCGTTCTAACGATAAAATAGGAAAGAAATCCACCAATTAAAGCAGACACAATTTAATCTTAGTTCAATCAAATCCATGGCAAACAACATGGCAGATCAATCATTGTTATTTCGTTGTATATATAACTTACTATAAAAGGGCCTGTCTACAGTGTTGAGGAAGTTACTTGTTACCTCTCTAAAGAAAGTAACTTATTTATTTTACTTTTGTGAAACTGTTATTATGCTCACCTTTGCCCCATGTGAATAAATAATGAGAAAAGTCCACCTAATGTAGTGAAAAAAAACATTGCAATTAAGGCCTGGACAAATTTTAGGAAGGATCTATTGCTGAATGTATAACAGGTTTTTAACGTCACAGCGTTATAAAAAAAACGTCAACAAAACCTTTTGACTTTTTGCTCTGAGGTCTTTGGGAGCTCACCTCACAACCTGCAGAATTACCACGCTGCCCTCACACTAGACCCCACTCGGCTTTTTGTCAAGTGAAAAAAAAATTACATCAGGTTTTTGAGCTCGCAGGAGCAAGAAGCCGCTGACATGTGCCACCTTCAACAGCGCTGGGGTAAAACTGACGCAGTTCTGCAAATACGGGACTGTGGCAGCTGACAAAGTGTCACAGGATTTGGGCTACTTTTGGAACATGCCTTGCTGTTATTGTTACCTGCTCTACTTTGTTAATAAGGCGGGAAGAGTAGTTGCTACTTGATACCGAAACTTTTAATTAATAACAAATTATATAGACATCATGTAGGCTTTGGGATTTGATTAGAGATTCGTCATTTGCAGGTTGTGCTGCAGTTTGTACACGGTGAGATTTAGGTCAGGTATAAAACGTTATACACAATTATGGATAGCAGTGGTACAGCTTAGGCGTGAGTACCTATTGAAAGACACTCATTGGCTAATTGTCAAAAGATAGAAAAAAACAATTGATAGAATCCTGCTGCCTTTGTTTTCTTGTATAATAATAAATATGAAAATTACTACGACATTAAAGTCTTAAGTCAAATAGCGGTTTAGTGCTACCTCCACGTGGATTATAAATCACTGCTTTATCTCCAATGTTAAAGAGCGCTCTTCATTTTTGTACACACACAAACTCCAACATCTTCAATAGGATCAAATGGCATCTTTTGTGAAAATACCCTTATTTTTCTTGTGATCACAGTATATTCCAGCTGAGATTAGCCTGCATGATGTGTGTATGCGCAGAAGGCAGGACTTACATCTGTTGAGCAGTATTTGTGAGATTCTTTTTGAGAAGTTCTTTTAAAAAAAACATCTTATATTAAAACTTACTATTAGCCCAAATGTTAAGAGTTTAGCACACCTTGCCCACTGATACCAGCCATCCCTGATTTATATTATGTATATTATGCGATGGATGTAGCATGTTGTAGATTTGGTCAACCTTTTTATTTCTTTCCTCCATTGCACTATCAGTCGAAATAAACTAAACGTGCTAATTTATGGGCGAATACTTGAATAATTACCTAGGCTTTTAAATTATGACTTGGTAAAACACAAATAAAAACCGCAAAACAGACTATCAAAACAATGCTGGTATAAACACATAAAACAAGCCAGAAACGGGAACAATAAAGAAGAGATTTGTTCGAGACAGCGAGAAGCAGAAAGAAAGACCAGAAAAACAGCAAATATTGTTTTTTTTAAAGATATTTATGTATATTTTTGGATGACAGCAGAAAAACACAAGTACATGTTTGTCTTCCTTGTCTTTGGCAACGATTTAGAGAAGCCTACGAGATGAGGGGGATCACAAATGAAATGTCAGGACTCGGATGAAGGATAAACACGTTCGGAGAAGACATGGCGAGAGAGGGAGATCAAAAAGGAGAAAGCGAAGAACTTTGGAGGAATAACAAACACAGACCTGCCCACTCATTTACTCCAGCTTTGAGATTGAACACAAGGCCACGCAGTCGCCCGCCACGCCAGCCAGCATTAGGAGATCTTTAGGCTCAGTATGCAAGGGTCCACTCTGGGCGTATCTAGGCTGTCTACTTTTCTCATTTTTTCACCTGAATCTGAAAAGGTGAATGCATTAACTGCCATTGGACGCTCATCTATCTTATTCGTCGTAAGTCACATGGAGGTTTACGTTGTCGCCGGTGGTAGCGGTTTGAGACTGGGGTCGACCCGGGACGTCCCGTCGGTGGCGCTCAGGACTTAATGTTGAGGGCGCGGGCGGACCTGTCGTGGTGCCAATCTCTCAAACGGGCATAGCGAGGACTCTGGATCTCACTGAGGAACTTTTCCCTGATGGCAAGGCAGATTTGAAGAAAAGCAGAGTGAAGGAAAGCAGAGAGGGACAAAGTTGAGAAATATATTCTATAAGAGGTGGCAAGTGACTAAGTATTTAAGTAGTACTGCACTTAAGCATTTTCTTCTTGTATCAATACTTTACTACTATTTTCTGAACAAATGTTTACACTTTTGAAATACAAACGTCTGTACTTTCTAATTATTATAAAAAAAACTGGCAGATGGCAAAATTTCATTCAACTATTTGACTTAAAGTGAAGGTCAGTTACCTATCACTGACCTTTATTTAACCATAAAAGTCCAATTGAGATTTCAGAATCTTTTTCAGTCTTGGCCCCTGACATGGGGTGGGGAGGGTGTGACAGAGGACATATGTATGTTTTTAGTGGTAGCTACGCAGACACGGGGAGAACATGCAAACTCCAATCACAAATGCCCCATCTGCTAACCACTGTCAGATTTTTTAAATGTAAGCACAAGTTAGACCCGCCCTTACAGCTTCATGATTGGACGCAATTATCCTTGATAGACACCTGACACCCCTCACCATTGGTCTAACTGTACTTCTTGAGTACAAGTGAGGACTGCTAAAAATATACTATTTATGAAAAATTCACTATACTACAGGGTCATATGGGCAAAAATATGTATTCATCTAATTATTATAATTATTATCTGCCAATATGAAACATTAAATGTAACTGTGTTACTTAAGTTAGGAGGTTAGAGAGTGCTTTCAATATTATTTTATCTGATTACCTAAGACTAGTACATTTGTCATCTCTGCCTTTTTATAGTGATCACATTTCAGTCCAAATCACAGTCTCTAAATGGAAGTCATAAATTGTTAGAACACTATTAGGCAAAAAATTAAGCTTGTTAGATACGGAAGTAATCTTTAGTAGCAGCCTCACCATGCTCAAACATCGCACATGGCTGTAAACACTCATATCAGTCACTCAAATAACTTTCTCAGAAGTAAAAATAAAATATGAATGCAACACTGCAAATATCATCCTTCACCTCATCCCTAGACCTGCCACAATATTTAGTTAGACTTGAAGTAGAACTATAGGGGTCAGTGTTTATCATGCAAATAATCATCCACATCCATAGATATAACTTCTTTCTGCTATTTTTATTTAAATCAGCAAAGCTTTTAAAAAGGGATTTATTTCATCCAGGAAAGATGCAATATTATTGTTTGTGTTAAGTTATATATCACAATATATTATAAATGTTATCCCAACAGCACCGCTCATAACCATGCATATACGCTCATACCATCTCAACATTATCCAACCCATCTCAGCGGACATTTACCTGGACCTCTTCATGGTCTCATCATCGGGGTCCTGCACTGGGAGCACCAGAAGACACAAGACATGACTTCACTATTCAAAAAGACAGCTCATTCAAATGTACCACTGGGGTCAATTTGTTTCTAGCGCTGGAGCCGATATTGGAGTCCGTCTCTTGCTATGACACGCCCGTTATCTATTTTAGCTGCGTCAGTCAATCTGCTGTCTCTATGATCGCGTCAAGTCAAGCGTCCTCTGACAGGCCCGCCGCTCACACCCTGCTCTCATGCCTCCCCCTCCCTGCTTCCTTCCCCTCTGACTGACTTACTGTAGTCGGTGCCTGTTAGCTGGGCCAGGATTCGGAAGGAGCGGGACTGGGTGGTGCCGGTGCGAGGCTGCCAGTCCTCTGTGTCCTGGATCAGCCTCTTCTTGCTGCGGTCGTTTGGGATGAAACAGGGCACGTTCTCTGCTCTGAGCCCGTGCCTGTACACCACATGGCGGGCTTGAATTAACGCACGGCATGCTGGGACTAACCACTCAAAAAAAATAAGCAGAGGGGAGAAAAAAAAGGCCAAAGCCGTCGCGCAGACGACCTTGAAGACGGAGAACAACCCAGAGATAACATGCCGAAATGTGCTTAGTATTGCGGTCACGCAGAGCCAGGTAATGGATAGCCATTAGAGGGATTTCTCAGGGGCACACTACAGACTGTAAATGGACAATAGCTCATTAAAGATCATACATTTGGCAGGCATTAGTATTGACAGGATATAGTCTCAAGGATGGATTTGCTTAAAACACTTCACAGTATAAATCACTGAAGCACTTCCAACACATACGATTAATAGGTTGCGTTCATGTGATGTCATAACATTCCAAAGAGTCTAGAGCTGAAATAGTGGCAGAGGGCAGCTGATAAAAGATCTTTCTGCTATCGCTAATCCCAGGACCAATCCACATGAAAAAATAGATCTTTCATATTCCCCTCTCAGAAAAGGAGAATATTCTGAAAATGAACTAAGCCATAATTATGAAAATGAGAACAAACAAAAGTCTAGATAATATTGGTCGGAATTACAAAAATAAATTAACCTTTCAACAATATTCTACATTTCTGGGTTTCACCATGAACTATGGTCTAATTATTATTTATTTATTTTTGTTATTATTGTCCTTTTTACAATGAATTTAGAAACGAGTTGTTTCACAAAATGTTCACCCAAGATCCTGATTTGTTCTGGTGCAGTGATGACGACAAGATTAAATTGTTATTTGAAAATCAAGTGTTTAAATTGTCTTCATTTTTAAGTAAAGCCTGGAAGAAACGGCAGACTCATTTATTTAAATGAAAGCATTTGTGTTTGATTTTGTTAAAGTGCCTGATGTTGGCCTGTGTCTCTGTATTTGTGTTAATGGTGTCTTATAAGCCCATGTTGTATGCAAGAATAAAAAATATCTATTTCTCATAAAAGTGGTGATAATGTTTAATAACATGTATGTTGGCAATAGAAAGGGCAAGGGCTGACTGATCTCGAGAAAAAAGTTAATCCCATTTTAGTCCCATTTTGACCAATCATGATTTTTGATGAGTTTGTTTTCCACATTCAATAAAAACTAGCATGAATTAAAACCAAGCGTATATAATTATTTAACTATCCCTGTGAATGGTGAGGACACATGAGTGAGAGAGGTAAAAACTAAAATATGTGCTCTGAAACATCTCAAACACTGCCACATCATTGGTGTCTATTAATTGTATGTCAGAGGTTGATAATCCTGATCTATAAAGTTGAAAATGAGATATTCTAATCTTTCCATTTTGGCACAGGATTAGAAAGTGCGTTCAGATATAAATAATAATATGATGGGTTTGACTATATACAGTAAATAATGATGGACATTTTCGTTTTCAAAAATGTCTTCTTTCTCAGTTGTATCGACACCTGCCTGAAATACAATTCTGGAACACAAACACAACCTTTGGACAACAGGCACTATCAAACACGCAATGTAATGTAGACAAGCACCACAACTTCAAACACGAGCAACACAAACTAAACGCATTAGTACAGTGTTATTCAAACAGGATTAAACGCAGCCTCTTACTTGGATACTTGGTAAATATCATCGTAGTAACCGTGTTCACCTCTAAAGAACAAAAATGCTGAATGAAACACAATGGAGTGTAAAATGTCCCTTTTTATAGGGAGTCATGTATCAATTATGAACAGCAGATGGCAGTGTTTTGTGGAAATGAAAATAGGCAAAGGATCCTCTCTTCTGTGGAACCCTCTGTCTGTGCGTTCAGAAGAGAACTCATGGTGTTTTGATAAGTTTTGATAGGAATACGTAAATACTAAAACGTGTAAGGATTGTAAAGGTGTAATACTAACTTCTCAAGAGCTTCCATCTGTGAAAGTAAAAAAGGATATGAAAGATGAAAGAACAAGCCTTAGCATGTTGAATATTACAGGAGCAGATTATGACGACACAGCAACCCCCATGCAGCAGTCGGTGAGCAGACAAACATGCTTTCAGTGCAGCACAATGGGAGAAAGGCTCTATTGTTTTCAAACTATTAACATAGTGACCCTCGTTATGTAAGGACGCAAACTATTTATCCTCTCCTCACTTGCCCCTGTCATTTCAGATTTCTTGCATTCTTCCACCATTCAAGACATACCCTTTCATTATTTCATTTATGGGCAGAAATGCAATGCAATGACGAAACAGAATGTTGTAATTACAGGCTTTTTACAGAAGAGGGGGAAACTGTTTGGCCTCTGGCATCTGCTGAAGATATTCTGGACAGAGTGAGACCTCTGTAAAGACAAGGCCCTTAAATAATCCAGCGCTGGGCCAGTAAAAGCTGTGTGGGAACTCGGCAGAATTTATGAGCACGGCTAAATACAGAAACATTACCAGCGGCTGCTCACCCGTCTAACATGACCCAAATTATAAACCAGACCAGACGAACTTCAGACCAGGCCACTTATACAAAGCACTTTGTTTAAGTGATGTGCCACTTTGTCCTCTTTCTGAACGCTGCTTTATTTTACTCAAAGGGAATATAACTTTGATTCGAAACAATGATCTGTTTATGCAGAAAACTGGAGCACTACTCAAAATGGACTGATCTCGAGGGGAATTTTTTTCGGTTCTCAAACATGTGGGATTAATGGAATGGAAATAATGGGAAAGGTTAAAGGTAGGGTCAAAAACAAATCCATTTTCAAAGATCTTCGGTCATTGTACGTCAGGACAAAACGGAAGACACAATTGTGCCTCAACAATGGTTTCTCGTATCAATAATAAATGGGAAAGGACGGGGAAAACAAATGTCAGTCTAAAAATAACATAAGTACTGTAAAATATTTGTTAAAAAGCGCTTTCATAAAATAGTGGTTGTCTGGGTTTGAATACAAGACAATGGAACACGCAAAATATTTTTCTTATTTTTTTCCTTCCGAGTTTATGACGGTACATATTTGTACATACAATAAGCATCGAATTGTACATTGTACTGTTGATTTACTTGAAATTGAAAGTGCTGCTTTGCATAAAATCTCAAACATGATTGTCCCATTGGCAAATCTTACTCAAAGACAATAGAATGCTTCTCATTTAGAGAATGACTTTGAAAAGCCCCTCTGCGTCTGTAATATTTCTATTACTCTGAAACTAGCATTTCAACTGTGAGTGGGGCTTGCTTCTGCACTCACCTGGCACGTACTTATAATCGCCCACAGTATGGTACAAACGGACAGAAACTGATGGGTTTCTTTTCTTACAAGCCTTAAAAACTACTACAGTACAATCATAACTCAGTGGATTTTGATCCAATTATTTGTTCACTTAAGTGCATTATAGACTCATGTCTTCTCAAGTTACTTTCTTAAAATCAAAGGCAAGATCCTTTTTTTCATTGTAGTAGAAACACATCAGAAAATTATCCCAAAACCTTCTTTTGGGTCCCAACCCAAATTACCCAACCCAATATTTCACAGTATATTTGATGACAACAGTGAAGTCTGGAATTTGAATGTAATGTGAGATAAAATTATCAACAAAACATTTCTAGAATCAAGGAAATGAATAGATCTTGAGTATAATTAGGTATAGTCATTGAGTTTAGTAAGCAACCTTAACAAATGTAAGTATTTCAAGTAAATAATAATAAATAACTGCAGCGTAGGCCCTCGACCTACTCAAAATGATCCATATGACCCACTTTGATGTCCAGACCCATCATCAAAAAGGTTTTGAAGACACGGGCTAGGTTAAGTCTTGACGTTGAATGTATTTGAATAGTATTAAAGCTTGTTTCATGTAAAATATTAGGTGAAAGCGAAGGGCAGATAGAGGGCTTCTGTTCTGGACCTACCCGTTCTGAGACTGCTGCCCTCCCCCTGCGGCCTGTGAGCGCGGGGCACTAAGTTTGGGCGAGTATGCCACGGGTTTAACGGCGGCTCCGGAGCTGGCACTGGCGTCGCTTGCTCCAAACGGCCGGGCCATCTTGTTAATGGCCGTGCTGGGGGCAAACGAGTACTTTGGCAGAGCAGAAGCTGGAGCGAGTGAGTCCTGGTGGGGTGAGACAGAGGGACAATGCAACACACAACACACGACATGCACGAAGGATTCACACATGGTTAACGTTTGCATATGCTATTGCACAATCCCAACCTCTTCTTCTTGCAGCTAAGGCCTGACTGTGCAGTTCTGCCTTTTTGGTGTGCTCGTATAGTGCAAAGAAATAAGTCTTGTCTTGTTTGATTTAGAGGTGCACTATGCAACTTGGATGCAAGAAGTTGCGCTTGTTCCCATTCAAAAGTTATGATTTTGCCTGGAGCGATCAGCAGTCGGGCATTAAACTTATACAACTACACCGGAGACAAGGAGGCTACGTTACTTGAATACATTACAGGTCATATCTGTGGAGGAAAGTTTGTAGACTAAAAGTACGATCAGTTAAATATTGTTCAGGAGTAGCACCAAACTGGTACATTCTAAGAGCAATAACATCCCCATGGCGATGAACAGAGAAGTGGCACATTTATAAAAATAAGCACATGAAATAAGACTACATTTAGAGACTTCAAATTGTTTGTGAAGTGAAAATAAATGTGTATAAAAAGGAATACATTTTGTGTTTTTTCCCACTGAGACTTTAGAATAGCTTTTTCAGGAGAGTCCTTGCCCCAGAGAGAGGGGAGCTATTGTAAATGCTTTTAGTGGTAGGGGAAACGTGAACACCCGGAGCACTCAGAGACACAGGGAGACTTTCAGAAAAGCCCTGTCTGGAGGTGGAATCGAACCCAGGACCTTCTTGCTGAGAAGTTCTGAGATGGACTAATACAGAAAGAAAACTCATATATTGAAACTGTTGGAGTTGATCAATTTCAGTGTCAATTGTTGTTTCCTTTCACTTTTTCAGTTTGTTTTATTTTTGTACTTTTACCCTTGTTCTATTTCTGTATTTGTCTTATGCAGAACTTTAGCACATGTATTCCAATGTGGTTTTACTGCAAACGGCAAATAAAATAAATCTGAATCTGAATCTGTATATATGGTAAATGTAATGAGTTTTACCACCCTGAAAGGAGCCATACCTAATACCGTGGCCGGCTGGTGTATATCCACCGTTATTACTGTGTGGCAAGGCGGAATCCTACGCACAGAGAAACTGCTTAAGAAGTTGGAGCACAGCCGTTTTATTTACTTTGGCAGCTGTCCAAAGACTCAAGTCTAAAGTTATCTGCCACTGGCACTAAGCAGAAAATACTCAAAGCGAAAAATTGCATATTTGACTGGCAAGCTTTGGTCTGAAAATGTCAAATATTATCACAGAAAATTGCTTTTTTTTTTCATTATTTTGACTAATATAATAATAATGATAATGGTTTAGAGTAGGGCAGCACCAGATTGGAAATAAGTTTGAGATGCGATAGTGGTGTCAAGGACTGCGACTTTATGTTCCTAGAAACAAGAAGTTGCTCTTATTTCTCTTCACATGTTGAGTTTTGTTGTGGGTTCACTGTAGCTGCAAACGCATGTGTGAAAAAAACACACACAATATAGAGTGATTGCAAATGTTGGCGATGTATTAAAATTGATAACCATGTTTTTATAGTTTAATGTTAAAACAACCTTCTCAGAGGGATGTGAGTTACTGATCATCACCATGACGATGTTGGGGATTTGCCTGCAATTACTCGAGGTTCAACATTAAACGAGAACTTCTTAAAAACCTGCTTTCTCACAGTCAGTCTCTTGTCTCTTGTTGTTTTTGAATGTACAAGAGTCAGTAGAACACTCATGGTTTGTGTCCCAACTTTGAGAAAACAGAAATACAGAAATTATCTTTTCTATTTACTATGTTCTTATTTATCAAGAAAAATGTGTTCAATGTTTTAATGGTTCTTCAAAAGTGTATTGGTACTTTGACACTTTGACTAAAACAACCCGTATGTAATATTTACTCATAGTAGTTTAATAGTCATTACCATTACAAGGCAACTTTCATTGCCAGAATCTTTTTTTTTTTTTAAGCCCAAACCAGCTACATTTTAACCTAATAAACTGCAAACAAAAATTAGAGCCTCTTTCTGCTCTCTGATTAAACAATTTGCATAAACATTGGGAACATCATGTCCATTGTATTTCTAATTAGAATAACTCACATTTGATCCTTTGTGAAGAAAGGTTTAAACTTGAGTTTCACATGTGACCTGCTATCTGGCGACACATATAAAAGAGGTATATCTAATTGAAAATGAAAATATTACATAGCGTCCCTTTATGTGAAATACAATAATAATGTTTTACTTTTACTGTAGCTTGACCCTTTGCTCCTGTATGGTGGCAGCCCAGAAGTGTTTCATTTATAATCAGATGTATCCACTGCTGTAATTGCTAGTGCTTATCTTGTTCCTGTTTTCAAATCAATCGTCTGTTTGTTGTTCACCATTGAGCCCATTAAGGATTGTGCAATGCATAACAAAGTCGGCTGCAGTGAATTCCAACACATTTTTGCCAATCCATCTGGCACACGTCTCATTTAGTGACTCACTGGTGCTTTACTAATTGACTATGGCGGGACGCAGCGTGCAGGCATGAGGGTTAGCTGAGGTGGGCCCTACAAGAGTGACATGAAACGCTGGTGTGGCCAATTAGATGTAAAAGGTGTCTCCCAGTTGATTCTATGTCACTGTGCAGTCCAGCAGCAATCCATGCCAGGAATTCAAACTGATGTTAGATCAATGCTTAACAACAACAAAGGCCTTACCTTGTGGTCTCCGGCAGCTTTGAACGCTCTGTGGAAAACGAAAAGACAGCTATAAGAAATGCTCCTTTATAGTTGGGCATTATACATTGTTGCAGAGGTACAAGAGTCTTTTGATTTTGTGTTTGCATGTCTTTGTGTTTTATTGCAGGTCGGGACAGCATTACAAGCTGGTGTACGTTTCTGTAAGGTGAGCAAGTTTACATAACATAATATTCTTTATTTAAACAGACAGGTCCAGCTGAGATTGTGCATGTTTTAGAGGTAGAACAAACCGGAGGAACCAGAGGAAACCTGGGAAGACGCAGGAAAAGCACACTTCTGAATTTGAAAATCAGTCTTCTAAAGTCACAAAGTTTACCCAGAAGCCCAGGGGAGAGCAGCGCGTGCAACAGCTCAAACTTTGATGCTAAGACGTTCACTCTTGTTCAGGGCTAGAACAAGTTCATAGTATTTTATCAATTATTGAAAAGGTTAATAATTTAGTCATCAAATAATCTTTTTTTTTTACACCTGAGACAACAACATAGTGAGAGGAATTTCTATGTTTTTTATTTATCCTTTATTTATCCAGGAAGGTTTCTGACTCAGACCAGTCCCTGTGCTCCTCAGAGTTGGTTCATACGACCCGAACATGTCAAAGATGTACTTTGGTGCGAGGCCATGGAGAGATTTGTACACAGGCAGAGCTGCTTTAAACTCTGTTATCTGAGCCACAGGAAGCCAGTGCAGAGACCTGAGAACTGGACTATTGTCATCGCACTTTCTGGTTCGAGACAGGATTCGAGCTGCAGCGTTAAAAAAAGCTCCAATAGATTCAGAAAGCCCAGTGAGCAGTAGTCTAACTTATTGAAGACAAAAGCATGGATAGTACATTGCTTTAGACCGTATTATTTTTGATTCTGGCAACGTTTTTAGATGGTAAAAAGCTGCTGATGTTACTGATATGATATGGCTATTAAAATTATTACTGCGAGATTTTTACCCAGGTTGGGGTTTTAGGGAGAGAGACTGGAGGTGACAGATAACGCTTTCTATTTCAATGCTAGAAAAAGTATCTTTGGTCCCCAGAAACAGATTACACATTTTGCTATGCTGTCATCATTTGAATGGTCTAAAGACACTTTTTGAATTGATCAGCCGGGCGTTATGTGCTTGATATAAACGAGATGAGAGTGACAAGCCCTCTGTCACAGCCAATCACAGAGACGTTCCTATATGCTCTGCTAGCTGTCTCACTGTTAACCTACCATTTAATGAGTCTCACTTAATCAAGAAATGAGAGAGAAACCGGTTTGACAGCCGTTCCCGTGCTGTTATTTGTCGTTCAGGATGACATGATTAAGTTGCTGTCACAGGAACAGATTTTTTGGTTTGTGCTGAAACCGAACACGCTCACAATGAAATCATTTCCTGGCTCATTTCAAGGGTCACTTACTTTAGCTGATGAATGCTTGGCTTACATGCTGATGTTAGATAAAATCAGGACTTTCTCTGCAAAAACTCCCTTGATACTGAAAACAAACACTCCAACCACAAGCCTCAAGGCCAGTTCACAAACACTTTTGTTACGCTTTTGTTACTTGAACGGCTGTCATCTTTCCCTCACCATCTATTGTTCGTTTATGTTCGAGATCTTTAGTATAAACTTCAAGACACAAACAGAGGATAAAAAATTATAATAATCCAACACCTTTAAGTAACAGTATCTATCTGTTGAAAATGTCACACATGTTGGAGGCCAAAGGACAATAAAAAAAATATATACACATTTTCTAATAATACATTCTATTGTAGAAACGTCAAGAGATCAAGTCAAGGCCAGAACTAAAGTAGGAGAGTTTTACAATAACTGAACCCAAACGCTGAAAGCCAAACTCATCCCAGAACACAGCAGCTCATGGAGAAATTCTTACACAAAATCTACAGCACAAGTTTATACAAAAACAGAAGAAAGGTCGGGCATACCTGACCAGCAGCTTGACGACAAGCAAAGCAACCTTGTGAGCTGTGACTCACCATTCCTGTCGGAGCTACAGTTCAGACAGCTGTCTGTCAACAGTTTAAAGACACAGTGTCGTATTAGGCAGGAGCTGTGACTAAACTATTAGACCCTTGGCCTCAGCAGAAAGAACATGTCACAAGATTTCATTATTATGTCTCTCATATCGCGTCTCCACTCTCCTCATCCAGGGATGAATAAAATCCTTTTCCACATTCATTTAAGAAGAGTTTTTGTCACCTCAACACAACAATATTAAGACAAAGAAAATAAAATTCTGCTCAAGGGCCTTGTTATAAATGATGTTTATGTTTAATGTTCAAGCAAAATCACATGAATTAGACGTGAACATTTGTTTGTATAACTCACTGTTGGAACACAAACTGAACAACATTTCCATGTAAAAAAATACAGAAGGAGGCTCTCCTCCCGGACACGTGTGAGTCAGGTTTATAGAGTTGTATATAGTATTTTATTCATTTATACAGATGTGACTTTTGTTTCTTTATATTTTTGTTCAACATTCATAAGCATAACCCGTATAAGGATTAATAGTGAATGCATAAACTATGATGTATTGTTTTACATGGAATAATGCAATAATGCAAAATCAGCTGTTTACGTATGCAGCTCTCTGCTGCATGTCACCCAGGGCATTATGCACAGCACAGCAAAGGCAACCTACATGATAGGAGCAGGGCAGCTTTGTTATTTTACCCTATTCATCAGAAAATCTGCTTCCAACATCTTTATCTTGTCAAATCTGACATCACTACCTGCTTGTTTTGTGTCTCTGAGCATGTTTTAGTTTAACATTGACGAGAGCCAAGGGCCGCTCAGTGAAGTGCTTTAGAGAGGTTTCAAGGCCATGCAAATGTGGAAGGAGGCACGCAAATTTCCCACGATGAAAAAGAAAATCCTTGAGGATGCCTTAATGTGAGTCTCCGAGTTAATTTACACTTTCATCTGTTAAGTTATAAAAAAAGACTGGTCCTGACATGAGACAAATTAAGAGAGCGGGGCACATTTGTAGGAAGTCAACACTGGAGTCTCTGGGCAAATGACAACAAAGTGAACTGGATGTGAGCAGAAGCGTGGGGGCTGCTGTGATCACGATCCGTGCACTTTAAAGATCAGAAACAAATCAAAACGAGTCCCAGGGCGCCTGCAAGCCTCATCCTCCAAACAAGTGCACCCTGGTTTATGTTTGAAGCCATTAGCTCTGAATGGGAGCATCCTAACTTTGCTGAAAAAAGAGAGAGGGCCATTTTAATCACGCCACTTAATCAGGGCTGCTTTATCGGTGAGTGAATTCTTAGACTGATTATGGAGGCAGGTACGAGGGGGCTGCTCGGAAGGACATTTCCAGCATAAAGAATTTAGTAGAAGGTGACAAGGCTTTAAAGCTGGGGTACCCAGCTTTTTGGAAAGCATCAAGTAAAATTAAAATGTTCCAAACAATTCAGACATTATTTGTCTGTCTGATTATAAAGCATGTTATCTTTTGCATATTTAATTTGCCTGTTGTAGTACGGGGCATTACAGAAGAAAGAGCATTGAGGGCTAAAATACACATGCACCAAAATTCACATTGACAGCATGCATGAGAAGCAAAACTGCTAAAACCGAACCAGTTCGTATTTAGTCAGCCACCGATTCTTCAAGTCCCACCTTGTGACAGTTTTGCCTTTCACAATGTACATGTACTCTTGTCACTCTTGTCAATCTTTAAAAAACTGCCATACGGCCAACGTCTTGTCCACTTGCTGCTATCTTGCTTGCCGCTACCTTGCTTTCTTGCTGCAAACTTTCGGAGATCCCCATGGTAACACCTGCCACACAGCTGTCCGCTGTCGCGACGCTAATGTAAACTAAAAATATGGGTATCGGTTGCCAGAATCGGGTCCTATGGTATGAGTACAAGGTCAAGTCTATGGTATCCACCAGATTCCAGATAACAGTATCGTATCGGTGTATCCCTAATTTTTACAATATCATTATTGTGTATGCAGCCACAGCACAGTCTAATATAAAAGAAAAAGCCTCAAAGTCTGCCTTAAAAATGATCTGATATTAGACTGATGTAGAGACTCACCTTTTTAAACCTATTTTTCAAGCAAAGAGATGAAGATTTTAATCACATCAAAGCATCCTGCATCCATAGAACCTGTCACATTGGGAATATTTCAAGGGCGTTCGGCTATCTGGTGTCGCAGCAGGTAGGAAACAGTGTTGGGTGTGTGTGTGTGTGTGTTTGGGTGTGAGTTTGTGTGATTTATGCGGCGTGTCTAGAGATAACGCCTGACTGGTCATGCTGAGGCGGCGACGGACTCACTTGCTGAGGGTGAGGGTGAGTGAGTCCGATGCCGCTCTGATCTGGTTCTGTGCCTCCACGTGGGTCATGTCCTCCGCGTTGGTCTGACCGATCGAAACCACCCAGTCGCCCACGCCCACACCGGCCTGAGCTGCCTTTCCGCCCGGGGTCAGCTGTAGAAGAAAGCAGAAAGAGGTTTAAGAAGTTTGTCCAAAAAAAAATCAAAACAAAGGATACAAAAATATATATATCTAAACTTTAATACAGAATAGATAAGGGTTTGGATGAAGCAGATGGTTATTTGTTCCTACCTCTCATACAACACATGCGCACTCACTCACTTAGACTGGACACAGGCCCAAACTCTCTCTGACCCTTCCTCTCCTCCATAGTTAAAGAAGATCAAATCACCACAAGATGTGGTCTATGACTTTGAGTCCATGACCCCCAAGTGACATAAACATGATCCAAATAAATAATAATTTTAATATTGACCTGTGGCTTAAAGGCCGGGCACCTTACTTTTATGGTGTTTGACCCAACAGAAAGAGTCTTGTAAGATGTCATTCTATTAGAAAACATGTTATTTTTTTTGCAAACTTGTAAGAATGAGCCACTATTCTGTCTGATCTAACCATGTGACAGATGCCAAACAAACATGTATGGGAAAATTTAGAGCTAGGGACTAGCAACATGGATTTTACTGCTAAAATCGCTCACTTCCGTCAATAGAAGCAGCGTGACTTGTAGTACGGAGAGAAGTTAGTGCGTGGACGTAGCGCTCCTCAGATTACTACGCCTCACAATATAGTACCCGTTTTATCCGCTGAGAAAATCGACAGTTACATTTCTGTGTTACTATACTTTGCAGTGTAACACGTCACGTAACTATATACATTTAATAGGGAACACTTGGAAGAGTTTGGTAGCTTCTAGCGGGAGCTACCTTTTGGTCCTACACAGTATACAGAGGAGGCTGCGTTTGTGCTCCCGTTTTTGCTCCGTTTGCATGACAGAGCGCACGGACTAAGACCAGACAGGTACGTATTAACTAGTCTAAGGTAAGGTAAGAACATATGTCAGTATGTAAAAACGGTGAAATATTCCTTTAAAAGTTTGTGTGTGTGGAAGTTGGGTCCTATAGCGTGGATATTGCAGAATATAAAATACTGAAATGTGCTGTCTAACAACAACTTTGGAAGAGTAAATGAGATGGAAAAAGTCCTAACAAGTTACATTTAATAAGCTGCCACAACATAAACATAAACATTGAAATCATCAAGCTGTAACTTTGAAAGAGCCCAGGGTCTTGTATAGTTTACTAAAAAGAGCCCAAACTTCTGACTTTTCAACAATTTCACTAAACACCCGAACCCAATGACAGGGGATCATGCAATAACATTTATTTATACAGAAAAGAGTGAAAAATCTGGAAACAAAACACTTCCAGATGTTACAAAAGCTCCCCACTGGGTTCCTCCTTTCTAATGTTATGACTTTTAATGTTATGACTATAAATATTTCGAAATCCAAGGAAAATAATTTGAAGATCAGGACTTTGGACGATAAAAGGATCTCTCAATCTTAATTATTAACTTGACATGTAAAAGTCTGGAGTTGATCAATTATAGCAACATATCAGAGAGCATCTAGAAGAAAAACAGCTTGCCTTTGCTTTGTTCTCTTCTAACTCCACTTAATAATCTACACTGGGAGTCTGCGGGTCTGGGTCAGAGGGGCCAGTGGAGATTTTTCACTCAGCGCTGTCGGGAACAGGCATTATCGGTCATTGATGCTGAGAATGATGATGTCATCAGTCATCGCTACATGATTTATCGCAGATGTGACTCGCCCCTCGCGGAAAAATGTAAATGAAACCATATGTTACCTGCAGTGACGGCGAAAGGCCAAATCCAGACAGGTAAGTCATTTCGCCACAAAAGAATGATGTAATGCAGACGTGAGTGCCGTGTTACGAATGGGCTGAAATGAGACAGTTTGTGCAGGTAGTAATGTGTTACTTATATGACGGCTTCTGAGGACACGGAAATACACGGAGCGACAGCCAGAGCGTGTTTAGTAAGGGCTTAGTCAGTTTGCCTCTGCGCTTTAATGAAACTCAAGACTTGTGTCAAAGTCGCAAGATAGCTGGACTACAAAGTGTCTCCCATCAGATAAAGTCAGACGCTGCCAGGATTGCAGGCAAAAAGCTATTAGGATTACTCTCCAATGTCACGGATCCCTGCGAATGTTGGCTTGTCAAAGGCTAAAGGGACTCAAACGCTTCCATCATAAGTGTAGCCTCTTTTTTCCATAAACAACACAAACCTGGGTGTGCATGTGTGTGTGTCTCTGTGTGTGTGTATGGAATGAGGTAAGGCAGAAAGTACATGTTGTTCAACTGTAAAAACACAAAAATGTAGTTTACAAAGTTCAAGAAGTTTTTCAGCCAAACAAAATAATCTCATAATTGTCTTGGATCTACACTTTCTGGGAACAATTATTTTCCTCCGTTAAATAAGCATGGAGGAATATACAAATCAGGCATGCAGTATTGTGTAAAGAAAGAACCCTGTCATTACAAGCTACTACGGCAACCACAATGTGCAAAGTGTCCACCTAACCTTTAACTAGACACTACTGGATCATAAAACCTATTTATTTAGCTTGGTGGTAATTATTAGTAACCGCACACTTTAGCTTGAAGGCGTAATGCGCGATTAGCTCTGGGATGTAACAAACACATGATGTCAGTTCAAACCAGATGTGGATCTACCATGTATCATCAAAGCATCAAATCGGAAATATCTCATGAAGAAGAGCACTTTTCCCCCAGCAGCAAAATACCGGAGAGCTTTGAAAAGTTAAAGCTTCAAAGTATAACGGTGCTACTTTGAGCCCGATTTGTGTCTGGACTGGATCTACAACACGTCGTTTCCCCCCTGTAAGAGTGTTCTGCACAGCACAGTTAGGCTCAGAAGTGGGCTTTATGAAGCAGTAAAGACAGCGGGCTTGGTGTGTGTGGGGTTACTGATGGACGCAGACACCTGTGCGCCTGGCTCCGGTTCAGAATGCAACTGCTCACTTGAGAAGGCAGCCCTTAAAGTTGCTGTCCTCAGACCTTTGGTTAGTAGGGGGCAGATGGAAACCCTACACCGCCACAGTAGTTTGTCAATACACGGACGGAGAACAGTGAAAAACATGCCTTGGACTGTAAATGCAAGTTTGTACAGTAGTCAACAATCTCCCAGTGGTACGATTTAGGCCGGACGGTGTAGAGAAAGCATGATCTGCAAACTATACAGAGCAATACAACGATATTTTGATCGCAGTCGGTCTGTCTGTTTTGAAGCCGCCAATGAGGAACTTCCAATCCTTTCAAATGGTCAATCATCAGGTTGGGTCTCTTTAAACAAGAGAGGACTACAGCATTATAACTTGTGTGTTTGGTATGTTAGATCGAGTTAAATCCCCATTCTAAGACTAAGAGTAAATCAAAAAACATTGCTTTTAAAGGTAAAGTGGAGGTAAATTAACAACACTTTCTCCTATGGAAAGGCAATTTGTTGGTTTCCTCAGCAATGGTTCTCACGCCTTTGTAAAACACCTGGCGATTTATAATATTTTCTGACCTAGTGATGCACCATTCCTAGGACTTTGTTAACCTTTTTTTTAATTAACAAAGGAAATATGTTAGATTTTATATTCTTAATTGTACGAATCATTTCAATGATTTGGTCATTTTGCCCAGTTCTAGTACTGTTTGGGCAAAGTAACAAATGCCAAAGCCATGTCATTTGAAAATTGTTTTACCAAGAAGAAACAGATTACATCTATTAATTTTGGTATGTATACCAATTTGAAGAAAACATGTTGTTATATATGAGACTTGGGTGGCATCTCTGACTGCCACCCCCCTGACCCAGAAATGGATTAAAGGGTAGAAAATGGATGGATGGATGTTGTTATAGCACGCAGTTCTAGTTCAACTGCACACCACTTTGGCAAGATTAAAAACAATTCAATATTGTTTTACCAGGACAAAATAGATAAGATAAATGCATAATCAATATGAAGAAAACATCTTTAGTCATATGTCTCAGTTCTAGTTAAAGTGCAGCACTGTTTTTGCACAGTATCACATTTCAAAGCACGGCCAACCGCTCAAACCACGACTTACTGGAGATGCTTTCTGACCCTGAGCACAAGTTCACTCTGTTTACACACCGGTTTTGGGTTAAACCAACCAGCAACTGGGCACACTATTCTGTCTGGATCGCTCCTTTTATTCTTTCTGCGGCTATTTGGAGTTTGAGAGACGCTCTGTCCTTACATCACTCACACCGCACAGCTGATGCAAAGCCATAAATATACCTCTGAGAAATGGAAAACCCAATCTGCAGCAAGAAGCATGTGTGGTGCTTTAATGAACGCGGGCCAGCACCAAGCACTTGTAAGTCTCCTTAAGGACCACCTGACACAAACAACTAATGTCCCGAGCAAAAAGAATCCATTTAGTGAATTATTAATTAAACTCTTTAACAAGTGCTTGCCAGAGGTTGAGATTGAACAAGCGGTGAGCCGATAAAGACAGAGATAAAGCAGACAGGAGGATCGATGGCACACTAATCTAATTATAGGTGTGACCAAAAGCTCGAGACAATCATAACATGACTCCACACTGTGTCATGTCCAACTTTGATTGCAGCCTTCAAGAGTTTTTGTTATAAAAACCAGATGCTCCGAAAAGGCTGCGGGGTTAAGGTGGCGTAATGTTTATGAAGTGAAAGCGGAGCCAGATCTGGAGCTAAGCACTCGTCAGAGCTCCAGTACAATTTCAACAGCTGTCAAAGATGGAACTTCTGTCTAAAGTGTATTAGCTTTATCGCTTTAAGTTGGAAGAAGTGAATATGAAATGCTCAACAGTAGTGGTTCTCAACTGGCGGGTCGAGAGCCAAAAGTGTGAGAAAGCCGTGAGATCATTTTTAGCGGGTCGTAAGACTTTATTAACATTGATATCATTATATTTACTGTAACAAAAAAGTAAGAGATAAGTTACATTTCTTTTTTTTATTTAAAAAATGGGACGAAATATTAAGACATATGTCAAGGCATAATGCAAGTTTGTAAACATAAATTAAGAATGAAAAATTGCCTAATTTAACTGAAAACTAGAATAAAGTCATAACAATTCGGGCGTTCTGCTCTCCCAAAATTCCATCCGATGGGCGGGGGAGCGACTGAATTTTGCGTTGCATTATGGGTAACACTTGCCTTCGCAACTTCCGGTTCTCTCTGCCCGGCGCATTTTCTCTAAATGGTTGAGTGTTTTCGTCATTTTCTGTATGCAAATACATTCCCGTCTCTAACTAGTGGCATATCGCGCAAATCATCCGTCCAATTCACATTCTTCCCTCTTAGCTGAACTTCATTCTCATTGTTACCATCTGTCACTCGCACACACAGCCGTTTTCGTTCACTCTGCTCGCTGTCATCTTCTTCTAAATCTTCATAAACACCATCCGCTCGTTGAACTAGCAACAACAATTCCTCCTTTCGTTTTCCCACACTGCAAATACCCTTTCGCTTCAACCTTTCACGCAATTCAGGCACTGTCAATCGCTTGTTGTTTTCGTGAGCCATATTCGCCATTGTATGAAATCAACCGGAAGTGAACTGGGCAACAAACGGTGTCATTTTTTGATCACAGCGCCGCTCAGTGGATGGAATTTTGGGAGAGCAGAACGCCCGAATTAAAATCCACCTTTTGTTGCCAGAATCTCACGATTTGTGACATGGCACATGTCGCACTGATGAGTGCTGATGCAGACCACCTGCTGGGGTTTAGCTAGAAATGCTACAACCGCTGTGCATTATGTAGGAGTTCTTATTTTTGTATCCACTTTGATTTGAACACATTTGTTTGTCATAAAAACACAAAAACAGATCCAATAGAGTTAGTTGGCAACCCAAATGAGAGCCTCATTCTGCTCTCTGATTGGATGATCTGCTTGTAAACATAAAATTGTATTTTATTCACGTCAACTCCACTTCAAGCTGTTGTTCAGAAAAGGCCAAATATAATTTATGCTTGTGACCTGGTCCTGGGACACAAATACAAGAAGAAGATGTGTCATTTAACATGAACGTTTTACATACTTTCCTTTTCATTTGAAATTGAATGTTAAACTTGCCCCATTTTGAGGCAAAGAAATTAACTTTTGTCTTTGAGATTGGTTTGTATCCATTTTCTTGATTCTAGTATCTGTAGGAGCTGTTGATAATAATTATAGCATTATAGTATTATTAAATTGATATAAAAAAATGTTGTGTGATAATAAACAGTATTTTATATAATTTAGAGCGTATTTGCATCAGAATTGTAAGTTGATGGTGGGTCTTGACTCCGTTCCAGTGTTCTACAGACTTTATCAAGAAGAGGAACCCGCTGCGACTGTATAACGGTATGAAAACCCAGCACTAAATGCTCATGTTTAGGTAAATCTCGTTTATGTACAAGACTCAAGAGTGTAAGAGACAAGATTAGAGAAGTTAAGGAACTGCAGAGAGGTACTCCAGAGATGTATTTACCCTGCTTTCCAATCACTCACGTCAAAGTGTTGATGCTACACGTTCAAATCTCACGAGACTCTGCACAACATCTGTGTTTTAACAAGACTTTCTGCTCCACAAAACATTCTCTTTTGGGCTTTGAAATAGATGTCACTAGGCAACAGTTGGAGCGATGTAGTGTGCATATAACTCAGGCTGCTGGTGACTGGGCCTTAGCTCACTTTTAAGCCACAAATAAAAGTTCAACCAAACAGTAAACCTGCAGGACAGTGCAGGGACATACATTTATACAGAAGAAACATTTCCAGTTTGATTTTTTAATTTCTGTAAATTAGTAACAAAGGTTTCAAAAGTGCAATTTTCGGACCTCTTCAAGAAAAAATAAACATTCTTACGAGTAACATAATGATTATTACATTTTATACTATAGTGATGCACCAATAGATGTACTTTATTCTGTAAGAATGTTGTTCTGTTGATTTAATCTATAGTTCTCAAAATTCTGTTATTGTAAATTCAATCTAGTCTATCTAATCTAATCATAGTCCAAGCATTGGATTGGATTGGATTTTCATCAGAGTGAGATTGCCTTATTTTTTGCTTAAGTTAAGTATGTTCACTTTGTTATTTTTTTATTTTTTTATGCTCAAATCAACTCAATTATATCCTATGTAAGGTACTCAAAAGCCTGGAATCAGAATATTGAGCTGTTTGAAAAATTCATAACATTTATTTTTCTTCTTTAGTCAATAATTTAATATTTGGGAGAGTGTGGCATTTTCAACAATCATAACTCTACTATTTGAATTCATGACGTTCTTCTGACCAAACAAAGTAAAGAGACAGGGATTGTTCACAGTTACAGGGTGGATGCTGCAAAAATGTCAGGAATGCTGAGAAAGCAAAGGCTTCCAGACAGAAAAGGAAGGAAACAAAGCACAAAGCATTGACGGCTTAAACATAATGGCACCATCAAAAAAGCGTTTAGGTAAGTTCAGTTTAGACCAACGCCAACGGTCTTTCAAATGAGAGGAAAAGGAATGTGAAAACAGTATCAGGCTGCAAGGTAAACACCCAATAAGATTTTCAGGTACGACCTCAAAATCAGATGAACTGAATCATAATTACACCTAAAAACACGGCTGGACACCAGAACGTGCTGCACACAGTTTAGACACATCTCTCCTTCAAAGCTTATCGGAAAACAGCCTTTTTAAGCCAATTTGTCTTGTCACTCCAATTGTTTTTCACTCTCTAATCTCTTTCATCTCAAAAAGTGGGTACACACACTTATCTCATCAACTACAATCCAGTCAAAAAGCAAAGACCCCTCTGCAATTACCCAGAGCAAACCTGGCAACAGGCTTCTCGTTGGGATTTTTGGAAAAGTGATTTCAGATGTCATTTGTCGATGTTTCAATACATTTGTTTGAATCAATTAATCTATTATATCTGTTGTCGTGAGGGAGAAGATGCAAGACATGTTCTGACAAGGCCAATGATAACCACTGTCTTCAATGTGGGATTACATCAACTTCACACAAACAGACAGCAACAATGCCCAAGTGTGAAATAGTTTTCACATACTGTATTTCGGATCATGACAAACACTTGAAAAATTACATAAATGGATCATTGGCAGAATTAATCTTAGAGTAACCATTATATTCAGTCCAGTCTGGTGCCGCAGTTAAAATGCCGCAGTATCAATACAGTCAAGAAGGAGCTCCTTTATTTCATTATTTCACTACCTGTCTAAACAAGCAGAGGTGAAGAAAAACAGAAAAACAGAATATAGAACAATTATAGCTTTTTATATATCTGCTCAATGAACGGATGACTACGTTGATGAATACGACAACATTGTATCATGGCCTTTTCCTGTGAACCGGGAGGAAATCTTCAAACAAAGTACAGCAGAAAATGTAATGTTTCATGTTATGTTGATACATCCCTGCCTTTTAAATTGTATGAGAGAATAAAAAGATAATACGTAAAAAGGTATAATGAAACCGCTTTTTTTGTCAGCGACTCTTAAGACACTGAAATGAAAAGGCAATTTGGGCTTGGAAAAAGGAAGCACCCCTTCCAACATTTTCAGGTCCCACACTGATAAAATACTTTGGCTTTCAAAATCTGCCTAAAGGGAGAAGATGCGAGACATGCACTGACAAAGCCAATGATAACCACTGCCTTCAATGTGCGATTACATCATCTTTACACAAATATATAGTTTCTTCAACACTTGACTCACAGAAGTAACAATGTATAGATGTGGAATAGTTTCCATGGCTTTGAACTGGTATGGCTGCCACAGGCACAAAAGAAGTTCAAGGCATTCACAGCTACATAATTAGGTTTTAAATTAGTAATTAAGTTGAAAATGGCATACATCGAGTAAATTTGATAAATTCTCTAATGCAAATTAGATTAACATTTATAGATCATCCAAGCCTCTAAGGTAGAAAATTATAAAGCCAATAAGGGGAGTTTGATGGAATGCTGTATCTGGGTGTGCAATACCTGGCAGCAATAATAGAATAATTTTATGTGTATGTGTGAGTGAGTGAGTACGTTTGCTCGGGAAATGCACTTATAAGGCCTGGAAAGAAGTCACGGCTCTTTTCTATAGCAGCAGTGTTTGACAAAGGCTTATTGACCGACACAAAGCAGATTTCCAGAGTGTTCCTGTGATAAGTAAATATTATCAATTCAAATGGACTGACACTGTTAAACTGTATTCAGTCATGAACAGAAATTTGAATGAAATTTGAATGAATATATTGATAAGATAAGATAAAGAGGATGTGGCGTATGAGTAGAATAAAGGCAAGTGTTGAAAGCTTTGAGAAAACAACGAGAGCAGCGTGGGTTTGTTGATGGTCTTACCCTTGACACGGTGAGGGGCATACTGAAGTCCTTCCCACCCTGCAGCCTGAAGCCCCAGGGCGCTGGGCCGCTGAGGGTCACAGAGTATATGTTCATACCCTTTAAGAAAAAAGTATGTATTAGACAAGTGGATCCTAAGCCGGCAGTGCATCCTTGAGGCAGGGCAGAATTACATCACCTATATGCATCTATAACAGAGTAGCAGGGTAAAGCTCCATTTAATAAAACATCGCAACATAATCTGGAGACTGTAGTGCATTAATCCCTGAGGGAAAAGACGTTCACATAAATCTTAACCTAACAATCCAATCCAATGCACCAGTACCACACAAGCGTAGGAATCATTCATTTTTCTTGACATTGCACTTTTTCCATTAATTATTGACCAGGAAACGTCCATATCCTCTGTTAAATGTTTTCAGTGAAAGTGATTGATAAAATCTTCAAAGGCAATATGAAACGTCACCAGTCTTCTCGTGACAAACAGCTGTACCAGTGACCTCTGAACCAGCCTTCTCTCACTCCCTAGAGCTCAAACTCAAGGTTATTGTGCCAAGTATCTCCCAAAAATGACCCCTTCCCACTCAGAGCTTACCTTGTCCAGCTGGTCGCCCAAACCTGGCAGAACGTTGGAGTCTGTGCGCTGGGGCAGCAGATTCTCTGCTGTTGGCAAACCCTACCCCCTCACGGCGGCTGTGACACAGGCCTCTGCTCGCTCCTCAGAGGCTATATAAGGAATGTAAAACTACACCAAACTATTTCAGCCCAACACCCACATGAGTCACTAGGAGGGGGTGGGAAGAGGAGAGCAGGACAGAGGTAACATCTTACTGCCCCAGCCACACAGCCCAGACTCTATGCAATAGATAAGAGTCAAAAGCACAAAATGAAAACTTGTAGAGGACACATTCTGCCCTATGGGTAGAAGAATCTTCTTCAGTCTCAACCTTATGATATTTAATGGGATTTTTTTTTATATAAAATTTGTCTCAATATTGTCTAAATGAATGTTATCACACCCGTTATCTGTATTTATTTTGCAACATGGGCAAAATCGTGGTGATGCCAGTAATGGATAGACCTGTCAATACAATGTCTAGTTTTCAAATGATTTAAAAAGCATCCAGTGTTTGAGCTAATTTAGTTTTGTATTACATGCAATTGGCCAACTATGCCTCAGTAATCATTGTTAGTATATTGCCATTGTCATTCTTTATAACCTTCTGTTACTTTAACACTGGTGCTATGATGCAGTAAAGATAAGTTTAGGGCTCGCCTTCTACTTTCTCAATCAGACAAACTTAACCATCAAGCGTGAACATCCAAAATGCTGGCATGAAGAGGAACATATGAACGCTTGTCTCTTATAAACATGGATCAACATATCATTGATGTCACACAGATGTATCAAAAGTAGCAACAAGTACTTTTCCTACCTCTTGTCCCGCCTGCTGGTCTCCAGACATCACGCGTCTACGATAGAAAGAGTGAGAAAAAGTGCTATAACTTCGGACTTCCTCAAAGCGGACGTGAAGGAGGCAGCCTGGATCCCCTTGAGCTGAGCCGCAGACTATTCACAAACTCTGGAGTGGGACTCCTGAGACGTCACAGTCACATGGAGCACTTTGTCTGCTTTTGTAAACTCTGGAGTGAAAAAAACCTAAACTCTCAACAGTGAGTTCTACTGCAACCTGTTGGTCATGGGCAGCAACGGACTAAAGCACACTATGCAGTTCAATATAACTGCATACTGTAATATATTCGATCATAACATTTATTATTGAAAATATGTATTTATTTTAATAATAAATAACGCAGCATCTCTCCAATGTATGGCATTATAGATCCATGATGTATGGAGACTTTTACGAATGAACTTATAGTGCAGACAGTGTCCAGCAGAGGGAGACATATGACAAGAAAAGAGTCTGGTCCTGCTGGTCCGAGTAGCCCATGGATGTATTATATTAACTGGATAGGGTATTACTAGCTTGTAGCTGAATAACTCACGTGCTCAGGGGATTCTCGCGGTACTGCAGACTGAACCAGACTAAATTCACGTGGGCCACCCAGAAATTTTCCCCATAGAACTCAATGCATATTAAAACAGCTCAACCTCAGCTGACAGAGAACCTACAGCTTTCATAAAGATCGGATTTTGTGGGGATTTTAGTGTCCCTTGTCATCCTGAACTTTTTTTCTTCTTAAATCCTTTGGTTTTGTTTAAATCCACACTTTAGTGCCACAAACTCTGCTCCTCTGGCTGTCGCTCTAACTCCCGCTCTGATGAACTGCTCTGATTGGTCAGAGCGCGGCCGAGCCCCTCTGTGCACGTGCGTGAGACCCGGTGTGAGACCCACACACGCGTGTTTGGCGCAACGCATTATGGGAGATCATCCACTGCGCAGAACCGGGAGGACCAGACTATGCCCAAATACAGGCGAGTTTCCCATAGATCTTTGCGAGTTTCAGGCAACTTCCGCTAATCTTTCAGCCCCCATGCCGTCACAAAGCGCCACTGAGCACAACCATTCATTTGAATAGGGCGCCATCTTGGATCGCCGGGGCTTGGAGTAGCCCCTGACTGCAGTCCGCAGATCGGGGCGGAGCTCAACGTGGGCGGAGTCAAACGTTTGACTCCGCCCACGTTGAGCTCCGCCGAGCGGGAGCTAGGCATTGAGGACTGTGCGTATGACAGAGAAGGAGAAGAAGCAGAGGAGAAGAAGAGCGAAGTAGCTGGCAGAATGGAGGTACTGTAGGCCAGTTTTTTCATTCTGTTTTAACGTGCAACTCTGCTATATTTGTTACCGACAAGGAAGGTGGTAACATTATTTTTATTTTAAAATAAGTTATACTTGTATGTATCTGCATTCTGCACGGTTGGACTTCTAATCTAGTATACCTAGCATTACTGTTGCAGCGAAAATTATATAAACCTGGACTTAAAAACGACTTTTCTGGGTTTTAGATTCATATTTATCCGGCACGACGTACTGGGAAAATATTATACCTTTGGGGAGAAAATGTTATGTGATCGTTATTACTTTTGGGGGGGAAATATTATACTTTTCGCGGGGAAAATACGTTACTTTTTTAATCGTTGTTACATGTTGAATATAGAATAATGTAAGAATATAAAGCCAATATGCTAATATGTGATTTAAGCATATTTGAAATGGTACCATTCATAAGCATTTGACAATCTGACACTTACATCTGAGTAATCTGCAGGAAATTGATATTGCTCTTCCTTGCATGTTAACATCCATGACATGACATTTGTTTTTTAAATAAAATTATTTCATATATTTTGTCTCGTGTGTTTCTAATTGCTGTGCCTTTTATGTCTATTGTTTTCCCCTCTAATATAGAGACACATCAGCATACTGATCAATGGTGAAATATCGCTTTCAAAATGCACTGATGAGGGTTTGTTCAAAGTGTTTATGCATTTGAATCAAAAGTTGATTTTAGTTCAGTTACTTTTAGTTACTTCTGCTTACTCTTTGCACAGACACATTGCTCACAGCCTGTCTCCTGGCCCCTGGAGGGAGCTTGGCGTGAATGATGTTCAGGTGAGACGTTACTTCATAGTATTTGCTAACATTTACTATTTTCTTGCCATTCTTTTATTAAAAGACCTTGTTCACACCTCAGGGCCTAACAAAGCAAGGGTGCTCCAACAACTGTGGCGTGTTTGTTTTGATGGTAAGACCTATTCAGTATGTTATATCTTTGCTGTTATCTGTAAAATGTTTGCTTGCTACATTAAAAACACATTATATGTATTGGAAAATTGTATCCTGAGGAAATATGCATGACATTAGTCCATTAACCAGTACCTCTTGACTTACAGTACACGCTGTACATTGTAATGGGGGCCAATTGTGACTTCAGAGAGGTATGTGAAAATTGTGACACATTACGCTTAGTATACAACTTATCATTCCTGAACACATATTTGAATCTTCCTTTCTTTTTTCAAAGGAAAACATGCTGCAAATTAGGAGATGGTGGGTGTCTTGTCCTCCTACAGAACTTCCCCATGCCGTAAGTGCCCTCATGATCACACTTTTGAATCAGATCCTTTTAAATACTCACGGTCAACAGACCAACATGAATGTTTTCATAGTAAATTAATGTTGTCATTACATCATCAAGGTCTAAGGAAACCAGATTGCAGGAAAGAAAAAGACGGAGAAAGCAAAAAGGAAAACAGGTGAGAGTTGATTAATTTGTCCTGTAGTCAAACTATTGCTTGCAGACTAAAGCATAATCCCCCCCATTTATTTCAGGATCTGGAAGTGGTCCCTCCAAAAAGTATTCGGCTTTCAGAATCTGTCTCTGAAGCATCAGGTATTGTTCAAAACAGTATTATTGTACACAACCCCCAAGGTTGTAGAGATGGGATGTGACGTAGCTGGTTTTGCTGTAATTTCTCAATTTTCATTAAACCAGTATACTTAAAATAAGCTACTGATCTTTTTTAGAACTTGCATTGTTATTATACCTTTAAGAACCATAATCTGTTTCCTTTCTAGCAAAGACTGAGAGCTTGCCGGAAGTGGGAACTGGGAACGGAGTATGTTACCCGTTGTGAGATTTTCTTATTTCACTGTTTGCTGCCTTCTTCAACCTCTATTTTAATATTCATTTTCTTAATTTTTCATTAGGAGGATTCCCTGCTTATGGACACCTTAACGGCAGCAAGGTGGTGTGGCACAAGATCCTTCAAGGGAAAACTTTACCTTCCCCAGGTCATCACCATGAACAAGGAAGATTCCTTGAGGGCAGTGGAAATGCTGCGCATGTGTGATGGCCTGGATGAAGAGTATAAAGAAGACCTCAGTGAACCGTTCATGTTCATGTTTAGTTTGCAGGCAGACTATGAGGAGTTCTGCAAGGAAATGATGGACAAAAGGCAGCTGCAGGTGTTTTCCGGCTTTGAAATGAGATAATTTTCTGCTCACACATGCTGCATTTCTTTGCATTTTCACTTTGTTTTGGTTCTCCTAGTGTGGTTTTTGGTGATTTTGTTTGTACTTTTTTTATACCTGTGTTCCGGTTATGGCTTTTGTTTGTGTTATAAAATTTACCTTTTTGAAACATCAAGTCTGCATCCTTGGGTCCACTGTCTCGCTACCCCACCTCAAACCTCGGCATGTTTTCAGAAGTGTCAGTGGCACAATTCAGTCTCTGTTCTCCTTAATGTAGCTGATATAATTGAGTGGATACATTTATATAAGAATTTTTATTTTTTTAAATGAAGGCAGCATGGATAAAAAATAATGGACAGTAAAAAAATAAGGCTTTTGACAAGTTGAAAGTAGAAGCCTGATATTAAATGTTGATTTCACTTCACTGTTCTAGTTCAGTGGGAGCTGAACCTCATTAAAAAGTTGTGTGTAAAGTTGTGAGGGCTCATGGAAATGTAATCATATTACTATTATATTAGTATCATTTATTTTATGAGACAAGAATGCATGTAGAATATTATGTAACCTTACTATTATGTAAGCTGGTATTTACATTTGAGACAAAAAGAAACAGGTTTTACCAAAGATTTACATTTTGACACCAGATGTGATCCTGATATAAATAACAATGAATGGTGTCCCATACAAAAGCTTTTTATATTATTACAAGCTTAGGTGTAACATCAGAATCGGTCAGAATCAGGTGCAATAATAAATAATGGTACCAAAAATAGTTTATAAATATACATAATATACAAAGGAGTAGAAGAATGAAAAGCATATCGGGACCGATAAATATTAATTATTTTTTTAAATCATCAACTTGATGATTTTACCCTTGATCAAGATTAAAATCAGGGTAAAATGAAAAAAAAAAAACGCTTCCGTTAAAAAAAAGAAAAAAAAAAGAAGCTTCCGCGGTGGGCGGAGTCAAACGTTTGACTCCGCCCACGTTGAGCTCCGCCCCGATCTGCGGACTGCAGTCAGGGGTATATGGCTGGTCCTGCTCCATCCTCAGCTCCTGCGGACATATTGAATTAGATCCCCTATTTACTGATCTATTTCTCTATAGATGCGTGATGTTTTAACTACATAGCCATTGTTTACTTAGTACAAAATAGTATTTGCGTTTGACCTCATCACAATCTCTGACGCATAAACTCGATCTTGGGATAACACTAGCAAACAGGCTAACCGGCTGCACTGAGTTTACCAGAAAAGTCTTGGGGAAAGATGGCTGACAATGGATCAAACCACCAGGCAGAGGAGGACCCAGCAGCGGCCTTTCTGGCCCAGCAAGAGAGCGAGATTGCCGGGATCGAAAACGACACCGACAGCCTTGGGGCGATTGAGGCAGAGGATCCTGCGCAGACTACCACCAACTATGGCAAGTCAGACCCAGCTGTAGCATCAGCTAGCAGGCTAAGCTAATGTCCCATGTGTCAAACTCTCAATATTTTTGGTCTATGGTCAAACTCCACCGTCCGCCTTTAATTACAGAATAGAGATTGGATTCTGTGTGTTATTTGAATGTTTTAGTTGTATGTATATCCTGTGTAGAGTTGTAATGTAGCAGTCATTACAACTACACCATGAAGCATCACTCAGGCTAGACTAGTAGGTTAGCTTAATATAACTATTAATGAAAGTTAACCAGGTCAAAAGGTTAGACTCCAGAGCCAAGCCTAATGCCGTTGAGAGCCGATGATGAACTGACTTGTGTGCAGTCTGGTAAAACAGGTGTCACTACATTTCTGTGCTCAGTAAGGAGTCGATGTGAGTGTGCACTGAGCAGATACACAGTGTGTCTGAGGAGAACAACAACTGCTTAATGAGCATTTCCCTCTTTTTTTTTATAACACAATGTTAGATCCGTTTGGGGATGAACCTGCCACCCTGAATGGTGACCTGTATCAGGCAAGTTCACTATTTAATCTACCATCATCTTATATTAAAATGTATTGCAATTAACGTTGTAAATAATCAGACTGCTTTCTTTTGTTTTCTGAAATATAGGTCTCTTACGGTTAGCTTGGAGTTTACTGTGCTTTTTTTTTCATTTAACAGGAAGCAAATGGACCTACAGACTCTTATGCAGCCATTGCCCAGGTGGATCACCAGAGGCAAGAACCAGAAAGTTTACGCAAGTGGAGGGAAGAGCAGAAGGCACGCCTTGAAGAATTAGGTGACACACCACTCACTGCCTTCTATTACTTCAATGATTTAAGCTGAACTAAAGTCAAACACTTTAATGTTTTCTAGACACTGCGTCTAAGGCAGCGGAGGAAGAGTGGAAGGCGAAAGCGAAGAAGGAACTGGAAGACTGGCATGTTCATCAGAGTGAGCAAATGGAGAAGAACAAGGCCAATAACAGGTTTGCTTTCATTTTTGTTGCAAATAAAATCAGATGTTTGTGGATAGTTTAGGTTTGTTACAATATTTATTGGTTGTATACTGTTGGACTAACGATGGAAAAATGTTGAAACTACCTATGGTCAAGATGGTAAAGCTTCTTTCTCTTTTGTAATACACTTGAACTAACTATGTGCACATTCTACAATGTTTTCTTTTTTTCATGTCTTGTCTTTCTAAATGTCTTCTCTCATACCTTCCAACAGACTCTGTCCAAGTCTGACACGGTATTTTTGCATCTCTGACCATTTGTTTTGGCAAAAAGAGCTTTCCATAAAATGTTTTAAAGTTTCATGGGGCTATTCACATACTTGGCTAGCTTGTGTATCCTGGTGAATGTTTGCATCACAAACAGGATACTCTTTAGTTTTATTACCTTAAAAAGCCAGCATAAAATAAAGGGGCTAATCTACTAACATAATTTGCCTTTCCTTTTTATTATTATATTTATATTTTGTGTTTATTCTAACATGTATTTTTTCTTTTACTGCTTGCCTGGCCTTGCTGGTGTAGGATTGCTGACAAGGCTTTCTACAAACAGCCCAACTCTGATGTTATAGGATTTGTGTACGTTTAGTGCTTGTCAATAATTACCAAATACTGTATGTAGTATCTAGTTGGTCTTTTTAGAGGTAGTCGACTACGTAATCAAAGGATTAACCAAAGCATGTTTTGGTCAAATAAAAGGGACAAATCTCATGTTTTAATGTCACTACAGCCTGGGTCCGGTTAGTCTCCCTCTGCGGAGACCAAGACATTCCCTACTGCCCTCCTCTGCTGCCTCCACTAGTTTCTGTTTCTGTCGGTCTCTATCCTGGAGTTTGTGGCTCTCATACATTTAAAGGTTTTTGTTGAACCAAGTGTGGATGCTACTGACACACAGCAGAAAAGTGCTGTCGTAGGGGGCTCTGTCTGCTTCTCCCCAACAGAGTTAAGGTGTTTCCTCCACTTTTTAATGCCACATCTAAAGCTCCAAGAGTGTCATCAGACCATGGTCCATGTACGCTGCCAACAGCGTACAATATTAGCCCAGTGATGTAACATTCATTATAAAGTTTTATTCCTATTCCTTAAGTTAAACATCATAGGCAGCCTCAATTTTATTATAGGTCTAGTATGTTTTTCTAAGGGAGTCGACCACCAAAACTCACTAGTTGTGAACGTTCTAGCATTTATCATGCATGTGTGGTGTGTGTGACCTCTGCATGTTTCATGTACATATTTTATTGTCGCAGCATGTTTGAAGTGGATGTCGTTGAAACTGCTGTTGTATCAGTCTGTTCTTATCTCCCGTTTTCATCCGCAGAGCATCCGAGGAAGCTTTTCTGGCAGAGACGGATGGTGACTGCCCTGGCACTGAGTGGGAAAGAGTAGCACGTCTCTGCGACTTCAATCCCAAAACCAACAAACAGGCAAAGGATGTTTCTCGAATGCGCTCTGTCCTAATCTCTCTTAAACAAACTCCTTTAGTTCGCTAGTGAATTATGATAAGTCAATTCAATGCATTTTAAAGAGATGCCTTTCCAGTTTTAAGTTACCCTTATACGGTTTTGTTTATAGCTGTTCCCCTACTTCCAAATGCCTTTCAAAAGGAGTTATTCCCATACACATGATTGCATTATACTTTTCTTCTGACACAGAAAATGTTTCTTTTAAAAGTTTATTTTTTGCATACACTTGATTGCATGCCTTTCTTATACTAACTTATTTGTACATTTTTGCAATTTGGCCCTTTATGAATCACTTATTTAAGCACCAATGCTGTTAGATTGTACCCATATGCCTAATTTGACTGTATATTTGTTTTGTGTTTTTAGTTCAATGAAAAGATAAACTTGGTAGCGTACCATACTTCAATCACACAAACACGTGGCCTTTCAGATGACACAATTTAAAATTTAGTCTGGACATTGACAAGCCAAAGACAAAGAAGCCTTTACAATTCGTGAGCAATCTTGTATCAATATTTCTCTTGTCATGTGTCATGTCAATGTAATATAAGTATCACATGTTGCCTGTTTGGATTTTAATCTTGAATGTTACAATACAACTGGACAAAAAGTCACTCAGTGTCTAACGAATGGTAACTCTTAAACATCTATTTTACATTTTAAAAAGGTCAAGCATTTACCCACACACAACTATGTGTAAGTCATGTTATTCAGTTTTAATGTATGTTAAGCATTTTGGTCTCCTTAATAAACTTGAACTCATTGTGTGGCTACATTGTGATATTTTCTTTTACAAAAAAAGACAGGACTGATCAATGGATAAACACTTTATGCAGTAATGTACTGAATTGAGAATTTCCAACGTAGAATGATTATAAATAATGTTTTGGCCGTACATATGTTAGATTCACATTGTCCTCTTTGTGTGTTACTGCTTGGGCTTCAGAGTTGTGGCGAACACACCCACGATTATTGCAACTACAGTGAAGCCCTGGGCAAAGATGCGGCCCCTCATGAGTAGCTGGGACTGTCGAGTTTTCCCCAGACTGAAGGCACGTAGACCGTAGATGAGTGCTCCAGCCGTCCCCAAACATCCTGAGAAACAAAACACCATTCAAAAATCAATTTGTGTGACGATAACATTTGTTTTTTATAAACATGGTTAATACAGTAGGGCAAAAAAGTAGTCAGCCAACAATTGTGCAAGTTCTCCCACTTAAAAATATGAAGGAGACCTGTAATTTTCAAATATATATACCTCAACTATGAGAAAACAAAAATTCACATGATTTTTTAAGAATTTATTTTCAAATTATGGTGGAAAATAATTGGTCACCTACAAACAAGCAAGATTTCTGGTTCTCACAGACCTGTTTAAATGGCACCTGTTTTAACTCGTTATCAGTATAAAAGTCACCTCTCCACAACCTCAAACTCCAAACTCCGCTATGGCCTAGAGAGCTGTCAAATGACACTAGAAACAAAATTGTAGACCTGCACCAGGCTGGGAAGACTGAATCTGCAATGGGCAATAAGCAGCATGGTGTGAAGGAATCAACTATGGGAGCAATTATTAGAAAATAGAAGACATACAAGACCACTGATAATCTCCCTCAATCTGGGACTCCACGCAAGATCTCACCCGGGGTGTCAAAATTATCACAAGAACGGAGAGCAAAAATCCCAGAACCACACAGGGGACCTAGTGAATGGCCTGCAGAGAGCTGGGACCAAAGTAACAAAGACTACCATCAGTAACACACTACGCCACCGGAGACTCAAATCCTGCAGTACCAGACGTGTCCAGGCCCGTCTGAAGTTTGCTAGAGAGGATTTGGATGATCCAGAAGAGGATGGGGAGAATGTCACATGATAAGGTGAAACCAAAATAGGACTTTTTGGTAAAAAGCTACGGTGAAGCATAGGGGTGGAAACATCATGCTTTGGGGCTTTTTTTCTGCAAAGGGACCAGGACGACTGATCCGTGTAAAAGAATTAATGGGGCCATGTATTGTGAGATTTTGAATGAAAACCTCCATCCATCAGCAAGGGCATTGAAGATGAAACGTTGCTGGGTCGTTCTGGATGACTATGATCCCAAACGCACCGCCGGGGCCACGAAGGAGTTGCCATCCATGGCAGTAGTGTCCAACCAAGATCTGGGTATGCAGTTGGGGACATTAGGCTGGACTAGAAGAGCCACATGGACACAGTGTATGCTCTGGAGGAGAATCATCGCTCAAATATGTGAATCTGAGTGCTTCAATCATTCTAGCTCAATAATGCAGAGAATTAATGTTAGTATTCTTATCTACAACTTACTGAGATTAACAAAGTACATTTCTGCAATAATGTGGCCATCTATCTAGCAGCACTGCCTCAGTGCACCAGGCGTTTAACATGTAGGTGCGAATATATTTTTTATTATTATTATACAATATTATTACTATTTGTTTTGTTGAATTTTATACACTTTATTTGATAAACACAATTTGATCTTGGCTGTAAAAAATATATGCTGCTTTAATCCAAAACTGAGCAGTAATGATTACATCAACATCTACCCGGAACATCAGGAAGTCTTCCAGCAGATTTCATAATTTTTTGCAGTTTAACTGTATTCAGAGCAATAGCAAACCCACGAAAACACGTAACTAGTTTATTATTAGTACATTACAATTGTATTGATTATGCGATCAGTTCACCTCCTTAGACCAGTATCAAGGTTATCAGAACTGCAGTCTTATACAAAACACTATACGTTTACATTAAGTTGGCAAAGACAATTATATTTGCAAAACAAATGAGTGAGGGTGATATTTGTAGTGCATGTGTAGTGTGCCTGCTCTATGTGGTAATGTTATGAGGGCTTGTGTAACTGTTCTCACTCACCTATGGGGACAAATGGGTTTTCCTTGCTTTTTCGGATAAATTTGTCTTTAAAGCCCTCCTCTTTGGGCCTTGGCAGGGGCGTAAATCCCTCTATGATCGGGGGCTGGGAAAAGTCGAACGGGACCGGTCCAGCGGCGGTTTTGCTCTGATCCAACACGACTGGCGTTGACGCGGCGGCCATGGCTCTACTCCACAGGACCGGAAACCACATTCAAAAACTTCCGGCTTCAACCAAACCTTCAACTTAATACATTTAACCATGGATCTATTAAAATGCATTTAACAAATAGTGTGGCCCTAGGGTTTCTAAACGTACACGTTGTCCCCGTAGGACACAGGGCCGCAAATGGCGAAGTGGACGCACTCTGCCAAAACAATTTCCAAGTGGTAACTTTTGTTTGTTACGTGGCAATAAAAATGATTCTGATTCTGATAATGTATCCTTCACATTTGTCTCATGGGTCCTTCCATGTTACCAGGGGAACCTGTTAGGGTGACGTGGTCTGATTTAACTTTACGTAAGATTTTAAAACAGCCACGTTTCCATGACAACACTCGAACCACACATTAGCGACAGATCGCTGAGCGCATGTGTTCAATGGATGAATGAGTTTCTGGAAGTGATTGTTGTACTCAAAATCAAAATGTATAAGTTATCCTATGAAAGATAGTCATATTTGTGAGATGGAATGTTTTGGATGTAACCATGGTCCATTTGGTGACTGGACAGGGGTCGGCAATTGTTGGTTTACTACTACACTGACTGAGCTGAATCCTCAATTATTTGTTTTGCACAATCCTGCTACAGACACGTGGAGGCCATCACACCACATTGGTGTAGTAATAAAGGATAACAGACATTTTTTTCAATCTTTTATTTGAATATTAAGGTAAATATTTCACATTAATACAGGCTACATAAAGTAGAGCCACTATACGACATGAAATTTACTCTCATTTTAACCCTTTTTAGTATGTAAACAATTATACATGTATTTACCACTCTAAAAGGTTTTGATTTCTCGTTCTCCTCAGGTAATCATCTATTTTTGGGCCATTAAATAGCTACTTCATGTTGAGCCCCTTAAGCCCAAAAACGGTGGTGGTGGGTTTAAGTCAAAATCACTAAACTACGCAGAAAATGGATCCTGTTTAACAGTTGATCGCACAAGTTTGCTTGTATCATTGGGACACTGAAAACAGCTCCCAAATCTGTTCGTCCATGTGGGTAGGAGAGATAGGCACATCAAAGAAGGGTGTCATGAGACCTCCCCATTCTTTTAACCTCCTGCTCTGCACTCGTTAAGTCACTAGTTAGGTTATCATTGTAGTATTTTTAGCTTAATCTGTCATATTTTGTCAAGTTTGTTTGTCACGCTTGCGTTGTGGGTCATGCGGTCTGTGATTGCTCTGGACGCTGCCTAATTGACGTGATTCAGATGCACGTTGCCCAGATGAGGTGCCCAGGAACCAGGCCATACCTTCAAAAGCAAAACAAAGTAATTCAATGATATATATTATAAACTACTACAAATTCTAAAGCTACCAGATCTTAAGGTCAGATCCATTCTACCTGCTGCTGTGGGTCAGAGTTGTCTGTGTTATTTGGGACCACTTTGATTATGGGACTCCATGCAGGGTCGCCTGTGTGCAAACTGTTGTACATTGCCCCTCCTGGCCCCTCCGCCATGGGTGGATGAGGGGGCAGCATGGTTCCTCCATACATTGATATTGGTATTCCCTAAAAGAAAAATAAATAAGGAAATATTACATTGTTTTTTGTTGTTGTTATTTCACATAATTGCCTTGGGTATTATAGTTACTTTGGGAAAGTCAGGGATGTAATTGTTCGGCATATGCTGCTGGTGGAAGTTGTTTGCTGGGTTGGCAATACCGGTATCATCCTGCTCCATTGGCTGGTGTTGAGAAAAGGCAGACTGCTCCGCTTGCAGCTGAGGATGCATCATGTGACTGCTCATCAGTGGCTGGGACCAACCAGACATAGCCTCTGCATGGAAATTGAAACAAGGGGCATTAATGAAGTAATATTGTTACAAAAGGACATGACTTTATTGACTAACCAGAACCACTGCCAACGCCAAATGACCATATTCCTCCCTGCCCTACAGACGCGGTGTAATTGGTCGTGAGTAGCGGTGGGTTTACTGAACCCGTCTGCCGAATACGAGCCAACCTCTCTGTGCCAATGGGTGGGGGCACTTTCCGATCCTGCTGCGATGCGGCGCCTGGTTTGGGCTGTGGGGGTGGGGCCACCGCGGATGTAGATAGTGCAGAGGAGGATACGGTTGAGGGAGGAGGAACAGGAGAGTCACCTGGGAAAAAAGGGGGGGGAAAATGAAACACCATTTTGAATTTGCTTCATCAATTTGATTAATTGTACTATTATTAACAACCTCTCCAAAAGCTAATTACCTGATGTTGATGCACTCCAAGGATGAGGGGAAAAGTGCTGTCTGCTGAAGGAAGGAGCACCGACTGCAGTATGTCCATGTAGATACACAGGATTGGTAGTATAGCTTGCCAATGCTATAATTACACAGAGATATATTGGGAAAAGAGCAATATTTACAACCAGAGACATCCCTGATGATAGAGCATCTTACCCATGGGGCTATTAACCATCCTCTGGGAGGCTGAGCGGTATCCAGGGGCTTTGGAGTTGTCTGGAGGAGGTTGAGGAATCATACTGTCCATCTGACCCATGGCCATGTAGTTTGGTGGGGCAGAGTATGTTTGCTCTGGAGGGGACCGAGCAGGAAGATGGCTCCACACCTGATTGTTAGCCACCTGAATACACATTTAAATTGAACCGTTAAACTCTTTGCAATCCAAAATCCTTTGATATTCCAGAAAAAAAGCACATGAAGCCACTGACCTGGTTGTTATTCTCAAAGATGCTGCTGAGGCTGAATAGACCGGCTGGACCAAAGTTAGTGATCTGTTGCGGTTTGCCTGGGCTGGCCATGTGCTGCATCTGGGAACCATTGATCATACCAAGGTTTGCAGAGACCTGAAGTGAGCCTGTAGCTTGGGGAGGCAGACCTGCAGGCTGGGACTGTTTGGGGAGCTCTTGAGCATTAAACGGCACAAATACAGACTGTTGGTGCTGCTGTGCCTGTTGCTGCTGCGCCTGCTGCTCAGGGTGAGGGTAGTAAGGCCCTGGTGGCTGCATACGATGAGAGACTCTGGGTGCAGGGGCAGAGAAATGGGGTACAGTGTTGTTGGGATGTGCAATATTGTGTGACAGGACAGGGGCGGTGGCAGAAGGGTGGTTGGAAGTGGGCTGAAGAAGTGGCGGTGGTGCCTCCGAAGATGGAACAGAAGATGACGTTGCAGGTAACTGTTGCCGGGACTCCGGTTTGGACGATGAAACCAGAGCAGGTGTGAAACCCACTGGAGCCATGTTCTCACCGACAGAAATGGGATGACTCTCTATTGGGAGCAACGGCTTGTCTTTGCCAGTTTCCATTTTGACTGACTGAACGAGAGGCTGGGAGATGGGTCCCACTGGTTGCGGTGTCGCATTAGCAACACTTGTTGAGCTGTGATGTGCTGGAGACCCTGTCCCCCGTACTGCATTACTAACATTAGTGGACAGCGCAGATGAAACAGATACTGCATTGACTCCGGGGGACTTGGGCTCAGGGGCGAAGAGCTGTTTTCGTACAGAAGACGGCGTCGGTACGCTCGTTTGAGGGTTGTAAGCCGTGGGATTAGGGGTATGAGGAGAGGCCGCAGTTGATGTGTTGGGAGTGCTGGTAGTGGTGGTGGTGGTTGTTGTGACTGGCGCACCTGCGTTTGATGCGTTGCTATGGTCGCCATGGGCAGAGTTGGGTCTTGCCTGGCCAGCCGTGCTTCCACTCCCTCCATTATGTTTGGGGGAACTGTTTGCACTACCAGGACTTACCGGGCGCACAGGAAAAGGACCCCATGTGCTGGAAGCAGGGGAAAAGGTTCCACCAAAGTGCGCCACGGGTAGACGAGGATGTCGGATTTGGTGCATCGTTTGAGCAGCAGCAAGTAGTGCAAACTGAGGATGGGCGTACGCGAGAGGCAGAGACACAGGAAAAGGCTGTCTGACATTTGATGGCATAACCTTCCCAATCTTTCCCCCGGCTTGAGAGGAGATTGAAGATGTCGGCTGGAACGAGACCCCAGAAGACGTGACATGAGAGCTCAGCGTTTTGGTGGCAGAACCACTGGTGGTTGTATTTGGGAAAGCAGCTGTTTTAGAGCCAGGAGCTCGGATGTGATTTCGGGGAATCAGATCTTCTAGCTCTTTGGCAGGATCTTGAATTAGAGCATTGATTAGCTGGACTGCATATCGAGTGGACTCTGTGCCGCCTCTGCAAAAACATACATCAAGATCAGGGTCATTTATATGAACCTGACAGTTCAACATTTACAAATATTTGAGTAGATTAAATACTGTGTTTGCATTGCAGTCCATCAGATGGCAGTATTTTACCTAATAGTAATCATCCTCTCTCCATTCTTGTCTTTCTGTTTGTCCACATCAATATGAGCCCCAGTCACATCTTGAATCGCTGTGATGTTACAGCCTCCTCGACCCATAATCCGAGAGACCACAGATGCGGGAACTGAGAGCTTCTTCGATCTGCAAAAGAACAAAATGCTCATTGAACTGGGGACTTCAAGAAAATTGCCATTGGCTAAGTATTAAACATAAAGTTTACTATGAAAGAAAGTTTGTACCTTCTGACAACTTCTTTCCATCCTTCTTCCCTCTTTTGACCACGCTTAGGGCTCGTAAGGCTTAGCTTAGAGCTTGCCGAGTTAACTGGTAGAGCCATGGTTTTAAATGGTGAGGGAAGGGAGTTTGAGGTCGAGTCACTCATGTCTGGAATTCTGTGAAAAGAAAACTTGTTTAGGGCCTAACTTTTGTTTTACACGGCAAGTTCAAACTTACATATGACTTCACTGAAACACACAACTAAAGATGTGCTTCAGTCCTAAATACAATGCAAACCATATCCATGTATAACTCACTTTTGTGTTGGTTTTGAGATGGAGACTGTGACTTTATTGTCAATTCTGTTCTCTGTTGAATGGAGAAAGTGCCTTTTTTCTGAACCTGGTGGAAGGGGTTGTGATTGCATTGCTCCTGAAGAGGGTGCTGAAGAGGACGAGCATGATGACGATGATGAGGCAGAGGAAGTCAGGTCAGGGAGATAGTTGAGCTCTTGACTCTTGCCTCCACTACTGCTGCTTTCACTGGCACAGTCAGTGCTGTCCAAGGGGTCTGAGTCGCTGTTGCCACTCGTCACTCCCCCGCCCCCACCCCGGGGCTCACCATGAATCTTGTTCTTGTCAGCCTTATGCTGCGCTAGTGCAACCTTTGAATAAAAACAAGAATTATATATAATTCTAACCATTAAGATTCCAGATACATTTGTGCCATTTGGTGCCAACCTGTGAGTCTTGTAATATGATTGGTTCGCTCGGGGAAGAGTCCTTGGTCTTGTTCTTTTTGTTTTTGCGATTGGTGCTCGGGGTGGTAGCCACACTTGCCCTCTTCTTACCAAAAGCTGTAGTGAATGTGGGGGATGTGGCCGATATGCCAATTGTAGTGGTGGTGGTGGCACTTGGAGGCTCAATTGGAACCTCTGCTTCTAAAGTGAATGAAAGAATATTCAGTCAGTATTATATCTATCTATCTATCTATATAACACAACAACAATTATACATATTTTGATAATATATGTAGTATCATGTATATTGATTATTTTTAAAAAAACAAGTAATTATATTTAAAACATATTTTGAAATGTAACACTATCTCCATAAACCATAATTCAACTAACAACTGATTAAGTCTACCTTCTGCGGAATCGTCTTTCTCATCCAGCATCTCAAACTCATCCTTGGGTTTCTGCCCCTCCTCCTCCTCTTGTTTTCTTTTCTGCTCCTCTTTTTTCTTCTTGCGTTTCTCCTTGCGCTTTTCACGCTTTGCAGCTAAGGCCTGCTTCTTGCTCTCCTCTCGTGACTGAAAAAAATTCCATTGAAGATATAATATCTAATAACTGATAACTTAAATGATTGCTTAAGTAGTAGGTATTACCTTCTCCAGGTCAAGCTCTTTCAAGAGGATGCTTGCATTTTTGTTGGCTTCAGCTGCCTGTTGATCTTTGGCCTTGACAATGGTCTCCATGCACTGATGGCACTTCTTTAACAGCTCCTACATTAGAAAATATGTAATCAGTTTTTGATCTAAAATAGAACATCTCAAATTGACAAAAAAAATGCTAGAGACCTATAGCTAGAAGCTGTATTGGTTACCTTATCAGTAATGGTGGCAATATATCTCATGCACTCGATGTCTGACGGGAATTGGTTGACTTCTTTTACAAGATACTGTACCACTTTCACATGGCCCTATGGAGTGCAAATAATATGTTACACACTGTATGAGCAATTAAAACGTCAAACCACAAATAAATGCTGTACCTTTCGAAAAGCAGCCATTAGTGGGGTAATCTTGCGGTTGTCAGCTGCATCCACATCAGCACTAGCATGAACCAAAAGCTGAACCACGTCAAAATGTCCGCCATTAGCAGCAAGCCAGAGAGGTGTATTCCCTTTTTTGTTACGCACATCAATATGAGCACCCCTGTAAAAAAAATAATTCATACACTGCGTCATGATTCATGTTACCCCTTGTGGATAACACACTTCCATCTTACCTGCTGATAAGTAGCTCACAAAACTTGTAGTGGCCTTTGTCAGCAGCAATGGTGAGGGCAGTGTCTCGAGAAGAGGGCACAGGAGGAGCATTGACATCGGCACCTTTATCCAGAAGCACTCGTCCAACTTCAGCATAGCCTCCAGAGGCTGCCTCCATCAGAGGAGTGAGACCAGTCTACAAGTAGAGACGCATTAGTTAGGAAGCCACTTCAAGTCTTTATTTACGGAATTTCCTTTTTTATTTGTCCCTGTCATTGCATTACATACATTATTTATGTTTAATACGCTACATTTGTGAAGCATAAACAAATGAAGAAAAATCCTCACCTTAGCACGATGTTCTACGTTTGCCTTGCGATCTAATAGCAGGCTAACGACCTCTGCTCGCCCTTGAAAGCAAGCCAAGGTCAAGGCAGTGTTTCGGTTGGTCTCAATCTGGGCATTGATGTCAGAGCCCATGTCTAATAGCAGTTTTACAGCGGGTACATGGCCATTCATTGCTGCGAGCATTAGAGGAGAGATTCCAAGTTTGCTGCCAGTTCTGGCGATGGAAAAAGAACCACCATTAGAATAAATATACATAAATGAAAGATTAAACATGGAGAGCGCAGCCTTTATCTAACCCAGATTTACTTTTCCATCAACCAGAGGCGAGATCTACCTCAGTTTTAAGTAGGACTGTATCAATTTGGTTCAATTCACAGTGTGGCCCTGTCCTGCTTAGCTTCAGAGGTCTGACCGGATGTGGCTTTAACATACAGGTGGCGCCACTAGGCAGTTGTATTGTTTTATTTCATTTAACATTTATTATAAGCAGGTAAGATTTTTGAGAACCAATTCTCACTTGCAAACTTGACCTGGCCAGATACACTGGCAGGAAATTTGAAAACACCACAGACAGCATTTAACAAGATAAAAAGCAAGACCAAGTGTCAACAATTTGAGCTTTTGTCCAAAATAGGACTGTCATCAGTGAATCGAGTCTTCCAATTGCCTAACGCAGGTAATGGAAGTTTTGGGTAATTGTTTCTGGTGAAATGCGTGTCGACAAATAATTCCTACCTTGAGTTAATTTCAGCACCAGCATTGAGAAGTATCTTAATGATGTTGACGTAACCACCAGAAGCCGCCAAGCTGAGTGGTGTGTAGTCAGAGACATTGCGGTGCTCTTTATTTGCTCCTCGAAGCAGCAGCAACTCTACCACTTCCTGACGCCCTCCGGAGCAAGCCAAGGAGAGCGGCGTGTCTTTGGTTCTCTCTGACTGCGCCTCAATATCACCACCTTTGTCCAGGAGGACTTCCACTACTCCCACATGACCAGCCGTAGCAGCCAGGATGAGAGGGGTGAATCCTGAGAGGGAATTAATGGAAAATGAAAAGAGAACCCAGGCATACATTATCACTTTTTGCATCTCATTTCAATTCTTTGTTTGAGAACAGAGGTAAGCCAACTACCAACCTACATATATCCAAATCAACAACCCAAATCATCTCATAGACTTTCTGGCGGGACTAGAGCAGGAGTCTTTTAACTTAACCCAGAAGAGCTACTTTATGATAAATCAGTCAAATGTCTATTTTTACACATTGGGAAATATTCTGTCGATGCTTTGTCATTTTTAAATCCTTTATGGTGTCATCTGGAATAGAGTGGTAAGCTAAGGCTAGCTCTAAAGCAATGGGATCAACATTACTTTCTGTTCAGAAAGTAAGTTTAGTTTGATTAATTGAGGCTGGGATTCCCAACATTTTGTTAGTTCCAACAGGAAAAGTAAAATGTGACCAAATCAAACCATAACATGTAGTTTTCACCTCATTAGAAAACATGTTATCTTTTACATACATGTGTGTGAAAATTCGTCAATTTTAGTTGAATTAATATTAACGCATACCTTTTTTGTCCCGATGCTCAATGTTAGCTCCCCTAGCTATCAGGACTGACACCAGCTCTTCGTGCCCACCTGCACATGCCAGCGTCAGCGCGGTGTCATGGTTACTCTCCGTCTGAGAAGGGAATCAAACAAGACTTAGTTAAAGAATAAATTTGACATTATATTTCAGAATCAACCTTGTGTGCGAAGCTTACATGTGCATCAATGTCAAGTGAAAGATAAAGAGGCAAAACAGAAGGAGGAGTAGAGATGTTTGCAGGCGTCTGTGAGGGTGGCTGGGACAAGGGCGTTGGTGAAGTTGTAGTATTCAACATAGGTACACGACTGCTCACAGCTGCATCAAATGATACAAGATGAGTAAGATTCATCACAACATTTAAGCACCTTGCTCCTTGAAGACAACATACCTGCCATAATGTCATCGAGCGTGTCTGTGAGGGTTTGTGCAGGTGTGGCCAACATGAGACCATTAGAGGGCTGTGGTGGCAACATTCCTGGGCCAATCCCAGTTAATTGTTTAGCTTGGCCCTGCTGCTGCCCTAGCATCTGCTGGCCCACTAGTACCCTCTGGAGCTCTGGACTAGCACTCCCGGGGTAGTCCGCCGGATTGTAGTCTGGCAGAGGTGGGATGGGAACAAAGGCCGCTTGGAGAGGTGGAGGTGGGGGCTGTGGCTGCGTCTGAGGTGAGGGAGGAAGTGGAGGTTGCGGTGGAGGCTGTGGACTGTCCCGGTAGAGAATTGTGCCCACCTGAGGAAGTTTTGCAAAATCCTCTTCCCCATCAGGATCTTCGTCTGAACCATCCTCATCATAATCATAGTCTTCCTCCTCCTAAATTGTTTTAGACATTATCTATTAGTTAATATTTAGAACAATTTTCAATAGTAGACAGTGTAGTTTGGATTTTACCTGTTCCACCTCTGCAGGCTGCTCTTGCTCGTCATCACGGTTTGCCTCATCATCGGTGTCAGAGCTGGTGTTGACTTGGGCACCTGGAGGTGTGGGAAGCAGCATTGGAGAAGTCGGACTTCCTGGTCCAGGCCCAGGACCGGGGCCAGGGCCTTGGCTTTGGCCAGGCTCCTGCTCTTCTTTTAAACCCTTGGCCTCCATATATTCTTTGGTGAACTGTTGCTGTGTTTTTATCTGCAGCTGGCGCTCTACCTTCTGCAGTTCTTTCAGAATTTTCTTTTTCTTCTGAACCTAAAAATGTATGTTTGTCTTCAAGTCAATGTACTAAAACTGATACGCACTTTGAGTGTATTTGATTCAAAACAAACAGTGAAAAAAGTGAGCGGAAGATATACACACCTGTTCTTCTCTGCTCTTCTTCAACTCCTCAATTTTGTCTTTGGTGAGAGGCTCCCCCTGAATAAGTTCTAATGACTGAAGTTGGGCTTTTTCAATGGCGCTAATCCTCTGCCCAAGCTCATTGAGCTTTCCCTCAGTCTCCTCCACAATACACTCAAGAGGCTGGCACAAGTGGAAGGTCGGCAGATGATCTGCCTCTGCCCCTCGGCTAGTTGAATTGGGCACAGTGGGCTGAAGGGCCGCTTGTCTCTGCTTGGACATTGCTATTGGTTTAAAGAGGGGAAAAAATGTCAAAAAATACATATTCTTAGAAAATATAATGATATACTATGGATAAGATCTGGTTCAGATTACAGCTTTATTTATTAAACTTGAGTGAAGTGCATCATTCTTGCCGCCGTTTTAAAACAAGATTGAAATGCTCATCACGCACATATTTTCCGCGCTATCGCTGGCCCACGCTGCCTCTCTCACAAACAGGACACTTCGGCTGCTTGTATCTCTTAATTTTGGGGTGGAGACAAAAGACTGGGTCCAGGCACCAGGACCAATGCTATTTTTAGATCATGCTTCGAGGGCACCTGTAGTGATCCTTGCGAGACCGTGAGCCCACGGGCATAGGGCTTGTGAGCCCTGCTAATCTATGCTACTGCTGCTACTAACTGAGTGAGAGAAAGTTTCCTTCTCTGCTTGTCCCTGCCCCGTGATTACAACAGAGCCAGGGCCAATCAGATCTCAGCATAGACGGCCAGTGAAAAAATATCAACCAAGATAAAACAAGTTGATGTAACAAACGGACACTGGGCTGAGCAGGTGCATATTAGCAATCTAAAACCAATCCAACGCAAGAATCTAACAGACACAGAAAGACAAGAGCCGATACATCCCGAATCTGCCCCTTTTGTGTATCGATGCATGCTGGAATGTGCCGGTGCAGTCACATCGCAAGTGCTTGACTCGAACCACTGGTACAAATTCCCTTACCCTTGCATGAGACAGGAGGGGGAGAGGCAATGTTTGATGGGGCTTGGTCGGGCTCCTGGGGGGGCACCAAATTGGCGAGGGCTTGGAATGGGACACGAGGAACCTATATAAAAGTAAAAATTATTGAAACAAATATTAACTTACAGGGAATTGATAGCAAATAACTAAAACTTACCTGAGAGGCATCTTGCGAAGGAGGCGTAAGTTGTGACAGATCTGGGGCTGGGACAGACAGGATGTTGTTGGGATAATCCAACAGGTAGGACACCACATTAGTGTGACCACCCTTAGCAGCTTCTATCAACATTGTTGAACCATCCTAAACACAAACATTGATAAGGTTTAAATCCAGCACCTCAGATCAATATGTAAAGACTATGATGAGTGATTATTACTTTGAGTCTGTGCGTTGGGTCAGCTCCATGTGCCAGCAGTAGCTCTACAACAGCGAGATGTCCTCCAGCACAGGCCAGCGACACCACTATGTGATCGTTATTAGCAGTCGTCCGATTCACATTAGCCCCTGAAAATATTTATTTTACACACATTATTCATGGCAATAAATTATGGCTTAGAAATATAATGAACAAAAAACACCACCTTTGCTGATCAGGAATTGCACTGTGCAGAGATGACCTGCCCTTGCTGCTTTCATCAAAGGAGTCCTCCCACCTTCAGACTCATGTTCCTGGGGAGGAATACAAAAATGTAGCTTATGGAATCATGATTTCAGGACAATAAACTACCACTTTTCCCTGCTATTTTTACCCTGTGGCTTATACAATGTTGCTGCAAATGTATCAACTTAAGCTCCATCTCTACTTCTAAGAGCTCCACAAAAAAAACACAAGCTAAGCTAATAACAAGTTTTAGACTCGTTACAATCTATTAAAACAAGTGCAACCTATAATTATATATGAAATATATAATTAGTGTGTGTGACTTGTATACAGATGTGATCTTTTGTCCAAATACAAGAGTACATCAATATCATAAAAATACAAACATACCAGGTTGGCTCCAGCCTGCAGAAGCACATCTGCAACATCTGTATGACCATTTTCACAGGCATAAGTTAACGCCGTGTCCCCAGTGGCTGTTGTTGCATGAACATTTGCTCCTGAAAAAGAAATTGATTTGTGAAAATATCGATGCTAATGATGCAACCTTCGAAATGCAGAGTAGTCCACTCACCAGCATTAAGTAGGTACTTCACCAACTCCAGATGGCCTTCCTGTGCAGCTTCCATGAGAGGAGTGGAACAGCCCAACTCAATGTCAGCTCCCGCCTTAATGAGAAAGTCCGCAACCTCTAAGAACCCTCCACAGCACGCCAAAGTCAGGGCGGTTTCCTGGGTTTCTTCGGTCTGTGCGTTGATGTTTGCCCCTGAAGAGAAGATGAACATTTACATTCCATTCGAAGTCAGAGAGCTATTAAGTTAATTTACCTTGAGCTAGTAGCAGAGCTACCATCTCCTCGTGACCTTCTCTAGCCGCTTCCATAAGAGGCGTGTATCCCTCATCATTAACCTGCAGGAAAAGATATACAAATATGAGAAACGTTCTTGTCAATATTTTTTAAATGAGTCTACCATACCTCCTCCAGGTTAGCTCCTCTCTCGATGAGCAAGGCTGCCAGCTCCACATGTCCCCCACAGGCTGCCAGGGTGAGAGGCGACTCAAAGGAATCCGCGGGCATGTTCACCTGAGCGCCGCTATCTAATAGAAGCCGCGCTACCTCCACATGGCCATCCTGGGACAGCGAGACACAAAAAATGTGTAGATAAGCACAACAAACTTTAGAATTAGAAAAACTTTAGAAAATACCAGAATATAACAGAGTTAAGAATTCTATTGCACATTTCTTTCAAGTCAAATAGTTTTGGATCTGATGCTCACCATGCAAGCTTCCATCAGAGCTGTGTGCATTTCATCAGTCTTGTGTTCCTGATCTGCTCCAGCCTCCAACAGAAAACGCACCATGTCCAAGTGACCTGTACATAAAGATGTTTTTAAGATCACATTCACATCATTTTACTCCTAATCATGGCCTGTGCAACAAAAGAATTCCAGTAGCCTAGAACTGACCTTTGTAGCAGGCGAGTGTGAGAGCGCTTTCTTTAAACTCATTGGAGTGTGTGTTGATGCCAGCTCCATACTCCAAGAGCAATCTGGCAACCTCCACATGGCCCGCACTTGCAGCCTCCATGAGGGGCGTGTGTCCGTTCTCATTATGGTCCTCGATGTTAGCACCCTCTTTGAGCAACACTTTTACCACATCTACAAAGCCACCTGCACATGCGTATGTGAGAGCTGTGTTTCCTGGAAGAAAAATCCAAGGTAATCTAACTAATACAGCAGGCATTGCTTAATAATTATGTTACCTGTTGATGACTGTGCGTTTACGTCTGCTCCATGGACCAGTAAGAGCTTGACAATATCTACATAACCTCCACTGGCTGCGGCCATGAGTGGTGTAATGTCCCCTTTGATGCCTCTGTCCTCTACATTGGCATGCATAGCCAATAACACCTGCATACAGTGGTTAATAATGTAGACTTTTGTCTATTCCTCTCTGCATGTTAATCAATGTTTAGGTTATTACCTGGGCAAGTTCATAATAGCCAGCTGAGCAGGCAAGACACAACAGGCTCTCTCCTTCTTCTGTGTGTTCATTGACGCTCCGTCCCTCGTCCAATAGTTTGCGGACTGCATTTACATCCCCGTCAGAGCACGCCTCTGCTAAACTACGGCTGAAAAGAACCAGACTGCTACAATTACTGCCACTGTGACAGGTGAACAGACAAACGCCCTATAATGCACTTAAGTCAGAAGGCTCTTTCATACTCCAGGCACATATACGTGGAGGCTTCTGTCAGTCATGTGCGCAAATCTGTGCCGTTTGAGTCATCTCCAGGGAGCTTGTGGATCCATTGCAACAATGCAGTACAAAAGCTGAGCGTTTGGGGCACTGTAAGGTAGCTAGCCAGCTCATTGACTACATCTCCTTCCTCAAAGCGCCCCGTGTGCCTGCCTCTGGGCCCATGGATTTGCCCCTGTACTCTAAATTAGTTTCACTTTGATCCCATCTAGTGTCGCACATTTTTAACACTTGATACATAGTGGTAATTTACAATATTTAGTAATGAACAAAACAATCATTAAAGAAACAAATCCATACGATGAATAATCTAATAAGTCCTGGATTCCTGTTCTAATGTTTGTAATAATATTCTTAATTGCATCAGTGTAGTTTTATTGTTTGGGATAATTCCAAAGGCAAAAAATTAGTAAGCCAAAAATAAATATTATGACAGGCCCTGTTGTGGATACGTTTTCTGTGTGCTGGTGTTGAAAGCGTATGTCATGCGACAAACGATATAACATACATGTTACATACATGCATGGACCTAATTACAAACATAATGAGTGTAAACGATCCTTAAGACACAACTTAACTGAAAGAAATTAATGACATGATTAAGTGGTGGTATCCATAGCTGCCCCGGGGCAGACTGACGGAAGCGAGGCAACCGGTCTGTGACACCTGCCCCCACAACCACACCTGCCTCTTACTAGGCAATGTTAGTCAAATGTCTTGCCTGAGGACAGTTTGGCCCTTTATAGCCTCAGCCGTCCCACTGTAGCAACTGGTGTTCCCAGAGGTCTCCCATCACAGTACTACTAGACCATAGCCGGCGTGGCTTCTGAGATCTGACCTGATCAGGCTTAAGGCACAACACATTTTCTAATCATGCATGAGGACTTCAGGTTTACATTTCCTTAAGAAGAAAGGCAGTTGGGAAAAGCGATAGTAAAGAACTGCAGCAAACAGCAGATTAAGTTGTCCTTAAGTTCTTATCTCGCCACAGGGTCAGATCACATTTGAGTCAATATAATTGCCCATTAAAAACTAAAAAGTGTATAGATGTGGGCCAGATACATACTTGTCTGCTTGGCCTGCGTTGAGTGTGTTTTCCGCCCTCATCCGTGTCAGGGCTGCAGCCGCCTCGTCCAGGGCACAACTCACAGATGATGTCAGCCGCCGTAGCACTTCAGGGTCTGCAAAAGCTTTACCATCGGCAGTGGATAGTTTACCGATGCCTGCCAAACACCAGAAAGGCATAGGTGCGTAGGCAAAGGCAAACCAGAGGTAAGCACAACCACACCAGGGGGACAGGGAGAAGAGCGTCCAGCCAGGCCAATCCAATCCAAGGTTAGTAGTGGCGTGAATGCAAAACAGAAAAAACCCAACCAAAGCATTTGTTAAAATTGTGGTGGATTACATCAAGAGTATCCTCATTACACATCTATACATTTTATCTTTAGTCTGAACAAATAAGCAGGACAATGTCCTGTGGTTTTAAAGAAGGGATTCCTTGAAAAATAGATGGTAAGGAGTAACATAAGTCATAACTGGGGATGCACTGATACAAGAGAGTGGGGATTCCCTTCTATGGTATCCGTAAAAGCTAAAGTATCAAGATTGGTGCATCCCTAGAAATAACTTATAACACAACAAAATCAAACCAAACATTCTAAGCACAGACTAACCAAAGCCTTAAGAATGGAAATAGTTTTTTGTTTGAAATGGTTTGAAAACCATGTAAGTAGTTAATAATCTAGAACTTTTTTCTTATTAATTTTGATTCCATTTTCACTTTTTTACACAGATCAAGTCAAGGCTTCATGGTTCTCAAAGATTTCACATGTTTATAATGGCAAAGTTAAGGAAAGAGCTGAGGGAAAAGTTAATGTTTTACTCTTGACATGTTTATTCCTGTGTAGTGAAGAGGTTTACCAAACAACTACAGTAAAGTGCAGGTTTGTTGGTTTTGGTGAACTGAACGCTGGTTTATTTGCCAGATCAAACAAGTGCTCGTCACATTAGCCACTGCTAAATTCCTCACTCATTACTCATGTCATGATACATTAATGTCATAATTAATTAATGTTCCCCACTATGAACCAAATAAATGTTCACATTTAATATTACATTCCAGTTAGGGCTGGGCATCTTTCAGAACACAATATGATACGCATCTTGACACAGGGGACTTTCGATACAATTCTATAAGTCATAATTCTCAACGATACGATTTAGTTAAAAGGCTTTTGGCCGCTTGTCTAACGCTTTGCACTATTGATACATTGAGTAATTAATTTTATAGATGCTGTAAGCAATTTTGTTAGCTTAGCTGTAGCACCAACTTAGGGCTGGGCGATATGGCAAAAAAGTAATATCTAAATTTTTTGATCTTTCCGCTCAATATTGTAGTTTGTTTATTTTGTTTCCCCCAATACGTATTAAAAAAGTCTTGTACAGACTGTGTTGATATTGCAAGCATAATTCATGTGCTGCTGGAACTCCCACAATATCCTTAATCTGATTTCACAATTTTCACAAATTTGATTTTTTTCAAAAGCCGATTAATTGCCTAAATTCGATTCTCCACCAAACCAAACATCCAGCATTTTATTTTCTTAGTCACGACAGGGAGAGTGGGTGATTTTGGCATTTTCTGTTCAGCCATTTTAGGTTTTAGAAAATCCGATAACTCAGGTGAGCTCACTTGCGAGAAACAGGAAAAGGGTGAAGGGGGGTAAACGCATCCCATTGGTTTATTTTTATAGGTCCAAAATATTTTGTATACATTTTTGGAGACTTTAGGCATCTGGTCATTTTCATTACTATTTGAAAACACATGATAACTTGACTATTTTTAGGGTTGAGGGACGTTTTCCCACAATATTTAAAAAAATGCGTCTGGGAAAAAAAAATCACTTACTGCATCTTTAATTTGAAGTAAATAAATAAACAGTGTTTAGTAAAGAAAGGAAACTTTTGATGAAAGACTGCAGAAAAGGCAACCTCCGGAGTATATAAGCGGACAGCTACTCTACATTTTTGGATAAAGTTAGCAATGGCTCTCAGTGCTTACACCTAGCGTAACTCCACAACAAGTCCAGTGAATTGTTAGCGAGCTGCATGAGCACTGTGTTGGTACAGCAGAGATTTCTGGACAAAAACAACCAATCACATATTAATCCATGCGCAGTACACACATGTCCCTTTTACAAAACAACAGCTCAGCTTTGCCCTGGCTCATAGACCCAGTGAGTATACATGGAAACACAGTGTCACAATCAGTTACAGTTACACCAAAAAATTAATGGACCTAAATTTCCAACTGTATTTTGCTCAAATATACCTTGCTTACATAAAAAGGTATATGAGTAATTTTCCCAAATTTTAGTAAAGAACCGTCCTCTCCACTTTTTGAACACAACTCTCTGGCCTTATTTAATGAACACGTATCACCAGAATGATTGAAAATTGGGAGGTCCAATAATCTTGATGATCCAACCGGAAGTAGAACATTCTCCTATATACCTTTAATAGAATATTTGAGACTGAGGTTTTCAACATAACATTTCTTCAAAAAACACAAAGGATCAATACATTTAGGTCTTAAAAAGGTGAGGCACCAAACTTCTTTGAAAGGAATCTTTTTAAAACATCAAAAACCGCTTTTCCTACATATGTGCACTACGGACAAAAATCATCAACTAAGGTGAATAACGCAGCTGATTTGCCACCTTCAGCCACCTTCTTGTATCTGTATTAGGACTGTGCAAAACAATTGTAATATTGATCCATCGCAATCTAAACAATGTGATAAACATTCATGGTTTATATATTTATGCTGATATTGCCTTTATAAATGCAGATATGTCCCCAAACAACTGACCAATAAGAATCCCTCTGTCCCCAAATTCAGATTCAGCTAGCAATACAGAATATGAAATATGTAATGGATGCATTTAAAAACATTTAGTAACAGGTTACTTGTATACTTGTACTGTACTATACTGTGTTACCGTCTCTAAGAGCGCGCACCAAGTTTGGGGGGGTGGGGGTGCTTCAGTTGTTTTTACAATATATGCACAACTTGAGAAAAGTAGTTTTAGTGGGGAAACTTGTTGCTATCCGTTTGGTAATGCACTGCTTCACTCTGCCTTCTCTCGCAGTTGCCATGTTTCTGAATAACAGCAATGTGATTACACACGTACACCAGAGGTTACATAAACAGAAAATTCTGTTCATTGACTGGCTTTTTTTGTTTGTTTAATTTTTTATTCCAAGTCATGGTTGGCCGTCCCCTCCACTGTGCCGTTGTCATGCCTTATCAATCAATCAAAGCGCCTCACAGTCCACACCACACAATGCACAAATCATCACCATTAAAATACAATTAAAAACACATATGTAATTAAAAAGCATTAAAATCACATAAGTAATTTAAAAACATAAGAATCACACAAGTAATTAAAAACAATAAAATAGTTAAAAACACAAAAACTTACAACAATAAATAACAAGGTGTGTTAAAAAGATAAAATTCTTTAGTTGTATGCACAGGAAAAAAGAAAAGTCTTTAACATGGATTTGAACATTGACAGAGAGGCAGCCAGTCTCACATCCTCAGGAAGACTGTTCCAGAGCTGCATAAATCTGAAAAGCAGCCTCCCCCTGTCTAGTCCTGACTCTGGGCACTAACAGGAGTCCCGTCCCTGCGCTTCTCAGAGTCCGGGCTGATTCATATGGGACTAGCATATCATGGATGTACTTTGGTGCAAGGCCATGGAGAGACTTGTACACCAGGAGAGCTGCTTTAAAGTCTATCCTCTGGGCCACGGGAAGCCAGTGCAGAGACCTGAGGACCGGACTAATGTGGTCGTACTTCCTGGTTCTAGTCAGGACTCGGGCTGCAGCATTTTGAATGTACTGCAGTTGTTTTACTGCATGTTTGGAGATACCTGTGAGCAGGCCATTGCAGTAATCCAGCCTACTGGAAACAAAAGAATGGATAAGAATCTCCAAGTCTGCTTTGGACACAATATTTTTAATTTTGGCAATATTTTTCAGATGATAAAAAGCTGCTGATGTTACCGATCCAATGTGGCTATTGAAGTTTAGGTCAGAGTCCATTATTACTCCCAGATATCTGACCTTATTTAAAGGCCTTAGGGAGAGAGACTGAAGGTGACAAATGACGGTCTCTCTTTGTTTCTCGGGACCAAAGACAATCATTTCGGTTTTGTCCGCATTTAGCTGGAGAAAATTGCATTGCATCCACTCACTGATCCGCTGGATACAGCGAAGGAGTGAGTCCACCGGTCCATGCTCTCCTGCAGTCAGTGAGACATAGATCTGAGTGTCATCAGCGTAATTGTGGTAGGACACTTTCATACTTTGAATTAACTGACCTAATGGCAGCATGTAAATATTGAACAGGAGAGGTCCCAGAATCGACCCCTGTGGCACTCCTGTGGCCTTACACTAATGAATAATTGTTAAGTAATTGTTCAATATAGTAATCAGATTGACTATACCCCTAATGCCCCATCATCCATAATAAAACATTTCTGGGGAACACCCTGAACATCCAAAGCAAAAAAATTATACATCTGTAACTCTACACCGTTTTGATGATCACAAATAGTACATTATTTTCATTTACATGAATCATCACTCAAATTTGCCTCTGACTGGCTGTGATTCTTGCCCTGCTCTAAAAATGAAAGCGACCGGAGCAGAGAACTGAGCGTGGCGGGTGTAGGCTACTGGTCTCGTGCCGCAGATGTCGGGACATGGATTTGCTCCGCGATGAGATCCTTGCTGTAACTTGCAGATGCAAAAAAGGCAGAATGTACTGGTCTAGTTCTGCTGCAGGCATCAGGACTTTCTCTGCCCTCACTGTAGCGCACACAGTGACATGCAACCTTGCACACATATTTAATAATGATGCCATGGTTCTAGGATTTGGAAGAAGAAAGACTCAATATGGGGTCGGCTTCAGACAGAATTCTCTCCTGGTTCAAGCTGGAGTACGCAAATTGTTGTTTTCCCCAACAGAAAGAGTTTGTTTAAAGGAAAAGGGGTGAAAAATTATAACACAACATGCATCTTCATCTTATTAGAAAATATATACCTTTGATACGGCCTGTGAGTCACTATTAGGTGCTTTCAAATGTTCAAATCAATATGTATAATGTTTATATACGTATCAATACGTATATATATATATATATATAAGTAT